CAAAACCAAATCTCAAAATCGGCTCAGTTCTGAAATTTTGGACACAATTATTAGAGTTTGCTCACACCTCCAGTTCCAAGGAAAATGTTGAAGAGATTTCAAAATAACACCACATGATGGAGCTATTCAACTCTGCAAACATGTACGATAAGGAAGAACCAGGGAACGATGACGGACTAGACGTTTTTGCTTACGCCAACTAGTGTTATCAAGTTCCTCCACCATTATCATGTGCCACCACCATTTCAGATTAAGGTACATCTTCACTGCACTGTAAATTATAGATATTATGTTTATGTAATTACTTGGATTCTCAATTCTAAGTGAAAATTTGTTTTATTTTGACATTTTAAGTGGATATTGTAGAGGATACTTTTATTTTGTGTGGATTGCAAAAATAGCCTCATGCTTCCCATCCAAAAAGATTTAGCCGAATTTGGGTCAAAAATTAAAAACGGTTTGGCCGATTTGACCATGAGATGGTGCGAGTGTTGGTCGTAAAGTTTGTCGTACATCTGGCAACCCTGCCCCCAACCCCCAGCGATGTTCCCGGAGTCAGCGAAACTTGTCATATAAAACTTCTTGGCATTCTGGTTACAAGGAGCTGCAGCTCTCGCTCATTATGGCAACAAGCTGTCAGAACGCTTTCCTGGGTAGTGAGGATGTGACAGCGCAGGTACAATGCCAGCACACACACCTGTCCTACCCGAGTTCACAAAGTCCACATACACAGGCTGAAGAACAGGGGGTCATACAGTCCTACCACGACACTTTCCAGAGACTGTCAGTGCTATGAGTCTGTGTATGCAAATCCCCAAGAGTGTTGCTATGTCGAGCGACTACGTTAACACAATCCCGCAAAGAAAAAGTGATCACTGGTGAAGGCCTGTTTGCTACAAGAACACTCCAGGCCGGCCTAGTAAATCTAAACGGTTAATTCTCCAGGTTAACAAACTCCCTCTTATAAAATTACGGTAATGTGGTGTGAATGTGAATGACTGAACTACCCATGCAAATTATGGAATCGTGTCAAATAAATGTAAATACAATTATCTGCCCGTATCTTTGATCCCCATCTTATGATTACTAAAGGTAATGAATGATTGGTTAAGACAAGGTATAATCAATAACTTAGATGGATGTTGGAATTAATGGAATTAATTAAATCACCATTTATCAAGTGTACAACTTATTGCATGCCGGAAGAGGAGTGAAATTTTACGTAGTGATACACCATAATCTCCTGGATGAGTAGTAACCAGTGTGAAGGTATCTGAACTCTACGGTAAGAAAACCACATCCCTACATTTATATTGTCAGATAATTTATGAACACACTGTATATCATTCCTTTGTTTATCTTTCAGTATACAGTACTGTATTGCACAACTTCTACCGAGATTCGTCAAGATTTATCAGTTCTGGGAGGACATGTGAACAAGGGGGTGACTCACACCCTCTATGCACGAGCCTGAAAGACAATTGCCAAAAACTGGTAATGAGATTCAACAGTAAACAAGAGATGGGGACTTACATATCTACTTAAATCTACTGGACAAATTCCATTACATTCTTCATATAAGAGATGATGTTAAGATACAGTACAATAAACACCTCTTAAGCTACAAATACTGAAACAAAATAAGATTCACTGTTAAGTCTTGTTATACTGTATACTAAGAGGCAGAAGTGTTCCGAGACTTCACTCATCAAAAGCGTCAGTACAGTAAGATCCAAATGTTACCGACTTATAATAATGCCTTAAAAGTACTGTAAGGAGCAACCAAAACTGAGAAATTTGTTTAATCAAATATAAAAAATGACATAAATAGTCTTCTCAACCCTTAATGGTAAATACAGTCCACCAAAAAAAGTTATAACGCACGCACGCGCACAGGATACAATTCTCACCAGTTATGATCTTTCTCTCTCTAAGGCTGTAACACATTTTTAACATCAAGCCCCACTAATGCCAAGAGTGATAAATAGATACAACGACTCACTCCACCAGAGACCAAACATTACAACGATGAAAAATTTCAAATTCTCACAAAAATCTAATAATTATCTAAGCCATTCATCAATTCTTCATCACATTTCAGTGATAATAATGAGCTTGTTCATGAAGGAAGTTACTGTAGGAATAATTTCTTCTTGCCCTTCACAGACAATATAATTTTTTCCTCTACACCATATCTCATCCTGTTCTCCTCCTCCTTCCCTTGTAGACTGGAGGTCACATCACAGACTCCCATCTATCTGCTTGCTCTACAATTCTTCCCTACACAAATAATCTTGCCCAAATACACATCTTTCTTTACACTCGTCCCACATTAACATTTTCAACATGTTGTCGTCATCCTCACAGTTCAATTAATCTATCTCGACCCAATACAATCCCTGAATGTCAATTTTGCCACAGCAGGTTAAATCAAGTCACCATATTAACTTCTTCAAATGCATTATTATTATTACTATTATTATTATTTTATATTATTATTATTATTATTATTATTATTATTATTATTATTATTATTATTATTATTATTATTATTATACTGTACCCTGTTTTAATTTCATTTATTACTGGCCATCATCATCATCATTACCACTACCATCATCACCATCATTTTACTGACCATCACCACCACCACCATCAATCATCACTATCATATCATTGACCATCACCAACACAATCATATCATCACCATATTAATGATCATCACCACCATCACCACTCATCTGCATACGGAAGGTTTTATTTCTTTCTCTACATCAGTCAGTGCTTGAAAAAACAATTACAAAAGCAGGAACCAATATCAGAAGTGTCGACGTTGTTGGATGAAATGTATCCTGCTGTGTTGGGTAATAACCACCTAAGTCCTTGGCCTATAAATCCACCAGCTTTTTAACATTTTGTGACCTCGAGCTTAAGCTGTTACCTAAATTCTCCAAAATTGAATCCATTGTTTCTTAATTAACTAAAAAGATGATCACCTCTCCCTCTCTCTCCCTCGCTCTCTCTCACACACACACACACCACACACATCCACCCACATTCTTCTCCACACATACACACAGACCATATCCAAACATACACCATAGCACACAGACCATATCCACACCCACATAAACCACATACACACACACTAACAACATCCACACAGACCATATCCACACACACACACAAATACACAGCACACCCACACCTGACCTGAACCTAACACCTTATGAGAGGGTTTAGTGCAGAGATAAACACCTTTATACAGTATTCAAACTAACAATAACATAACACAAAGACAGTAAAAAAAAAAAAAAAAACTCAAGAATAAAAATGAAAAAGTTTCAATCACTGACATAATATCTGGACTTAAAAACTTACAAATAAAATCTATTATCTAAACCAATATAAAATTTTACCAACTTAAAACTCTAACAGTGAACACATATCGAATACATAAGACAATATATATATTACATTCTATCATAATGAGATTAATCTATATATAAATCTGAATACATAAAGAATAAGGCAATCTGTATATAAGAGGTCACTGCATCCATCGTGTCCAGTAAACATTAATTTTGATCACGTGAACATTAGCCTCCCAGCTTGTCACCAGATGATTAAACACCCTAATGCTACCATAAGAGGTTAGGTTAGCATTAGGCTAGTTAATATTGAGGTGAAATAAGCTCGAGGCTGATCTTCACGTGATTCATTAACTCTTTATATCATTCTCAAGATGTATATGAGGTTAGGTTAGGTTAGTTTACGGGTATATATTTTATATGTATATATTAATCTATCAAAACTATTAATCTAATCTACTTGTATTTTATCTTGCTCTCTATATATCTATCACATCTACCTATCCATCTTTGAAGTTATTTTCCTCTCCATCTCCTCTTGTACAGTCAACTACTAAAGTCTGTCTGCCTCTTCCCCTGAACAACGAACCCTGGGATTCAGAGTCATGAATCCAAAGCATTTATGGACAGAATTATGTGTCACTCTACTGCTTCGGGTTCATGAGTCTGAATCAAGGGGTTCGTGGTTCAGGGGTGGGGGGAAGCTAATGGACTTTAATAGTTGACTGTACAATCAGCAACAAAAGCTTCACACTTTGACATTTGACCATAACTCTCAATACAACATCTCACACAATATTAAAGAAATGTGCGAGCCTAAAAATCTGAAGTAAATTGATCAGAGCATTACTAAGATACCAGCCAAAATCTGAAGTAAATTGATCAGAACATTACTAAGATACCAGCCAAAATCTGAAGTAAATTGATCAGAGCATTACTAAGATACCAGCCAAAATCTGAAGTAAATTGATCAGAACATTACTAAGATACCAGCCAAAATCTGAAGTAAATTGATCAGAGCATTACTAAGATACCAGCCAAAATCTGAAATAAATTGATCAGAGAATTACTAAGATACCAGCCAAAATCTAAAGTAAATTGATCAGAGCATTACGAAAATACCAGCCAAAATCTGAAGTAAATTGATCAGAGAATTACTAAGATACCAGCCAAAATCTGAAGTAAGTTTATCAGAGTATATTACTAAGATACCAGCCAAAATCTGAAGTAAATTGATCAGAGCATTACTAAGATACCAGCCAAAATCTGAAGTAAATTGATCAGAGAATTACTAAGATACCAGCCAAAATCTGAAGTAAATCAATCTGAACATTATTAAGGTAACTGCTAAAATTTTAAGTGAATCGATCAGAGGATTACTAAGATCCGAGATAACAGGCAAAATACCAAGTACTGTATATCTGTACAGTAATTCGGTCCGCGAATTACTGAGATAACAGCCAGGAACGTTGCTCCACCAGACTCGAGGGTTAAAGGCTAAATGAAGACACTTTAAAAAGTATAGATTTTGGCAGCCAGAAAAGTCAAGTAGCAACCTTGAGCTGCTGACAGGAACACATGAAAAGGTTAATCTGAGTAATCAAGTAAGGAAGAAAGAATAAAAAGAAAGATGGAACAAAAATATAAATTATTACAAGGACAACTAACAAAAACAGATAGATTATAACACAGATAACTAACACAGCAGACATCATCAGAATTAAAAAAAATGAAATACAAAATAATTGCCATATAAATTCTTTTTCTCTTTCCAGGAATTTAGGCACTGAGAGGACACTTATACACACACAAAACATATAAATCTTTTAGGCTTTTGTGAGCAGGGTTCATAGGTCCCAGCCTGTGCATGACTTTCAATGTCTTAAGAAGTAACTGAAGGGAGTGGAAGTGCCGAGAGTTTTTTGGCATTGTTAAATTAAGGTTAGGCTAAATTAAGTTAGGTTAGATTAAGTTAGGTTAGGTAAGGTTACATTAAGATCAGTTTATGTTAGGTGAGGATTCGATCAGATCATAAAGTTTTTAATTCAGGTTAAATGAGATTCTATCCCACTGAGATAGGAATGGACCAAGGTAGATAGAGTAGACATACAGATTTTCCTACTGAACCTATGTTACCAATTGTGGCTTCACGTCAATACTCGTCAAGTTGCAAGAAACCAGGAGACCACACACCAATCATTGTGGTATGCATCCATGCAGTAAATGTCCAAGAAGCTGGCCTATAGCAATGATATTTTAAACTGAACTTGTGAGAAACCGGTAAAGCTACAGCAAAAATCTGACAGTTAACAAGAGCGACTCAAGGCATTCTCACTACCCTAAAGGTGAGATTACTGATCACGTCGATGCGGTAAGAACATCTGCATTATAATTTCTCTTAGGGGTGTCATTGAGCTTACTGATGACCCTGAAGCGAGATAATATTAGCCCACCAGACTATACAGCACTGATGCAGCCTGAAGATAATTCTTGGTTATCCAGGATCTTATTCTTCTTCACTTGAGCCACCTGAGGAAGAGGAAGAGGAGCCGTGGAATCCATGACCTATACCCTTAGACATCATGTACCCTCCGGCCCCCAGCGCCCCGAGGCCAGCCAGCGGAACACCGTACTTCATCGCCTTGCCTCCCATCATCCCCTTCTGTTGTCCAAAAAATACAATTATAAAAGTAATATTATAACAATGTAGAATAATAATAATAACAACTGAGATACTGTATAAGAATGTCTGCTTTGAGTTATTTAATTTCTCACTATCAGAAATGATTATGTGATGCACTGATTTGATTTTTAACACAAGACACTTTTTACATATTATACAAAAAATATATTCCCTGTAAAGATTAATAAAGCAATGGTAAAAAGGGCTCTAACAATCTATGCTTCTGTCAGAATATCTCTGGTCTAAGCCAGTCACTTCACACAACCTACAGCATCACCCATCAACAGTATGTCCTTCCATAAGTCAGTCAATGCCAAGTTCACCTGTCCTTCATGCACACTACTACACTACTGTTACCTGGGTGTCCTCTCCCCCTGCCAGAAATACTCTGGCATGATGAGAAGATTAAGCACCCTAGATTATTTCAACTAATGAATAAACACCCAAATGCTATCCTGAGGTAGGGGTTAAGTTGGGTTGGATTGGGTTAGATTAGGCTAGAATTGGTTTGGTTAGGTCAGATTAAGTTAAAGCTAGGTTAGGTTACCAATAAAGTGGTTTAAGCAGGAGCTTCCGCCTACACGTCACGCAATTCACATTCTATAACAGTCTTGCTTACCGATCCTCCCAACATGGACGCTCCACCAACGGCACCACCCATCCCTAAGGCCTTGTTGAGAAGTCCTCCTCCAGAGCCACCAGAGCTAGGGTAGCCACCATTCGTCTTGGATTTCTGAAAATTTAAAAAATTACTTATACCTGTATTGTTGTTTCCTTACACATGACACATCTATTTGTCCTTCTACCAACCATGACGCTATCTATCTACCAACCATGGCACTATCTATCTACCAACCATGGCACTATCTACCTACCAACCATGGCACTATCTATCTACCAACCATGGCACTATCTATCTACCAACCATGGCACTATCTACCTACCAACCATGGCACTATCTATCTACCAACCATGACACTATCTATCTATCAACCATGACACTATCTATCTATCAACCATGACACTATCTATCTACCAACCATGAGACTATCTATCTATCAACCATGACACTATCTATCTACCAACCATGACACTATCTATCTACCAACCATGACACTATCTATCTACCAACCATGACACTATCTATCTATCAACCATGACACTATCTATCTAACAACCATGACACTATCTACTGTATCTATCAACCATGACACTATCTACCAACCATGACACTATCTATTAACCCTTCTATCAACTTCACCCCATCATCACCAACAGGTACTGAAGGAGGTATAATGTAAACAAACATCCTCACCAGACAGACACTAACTGAATAAATTTATCCTTGAATAGTTTAGCAGTCCTGTATCTCTGAATTAGCCACTACGTACTGTAATGCAAAAACAGATAATGTTATACTCTTCCATGTTGAGCTTTCCAATGTTAAGCTTTTCCATGTTAAGTTTTTCCATCAAATCCTGTATGCAACACCATGCAAAATTTTTAAAAAGTGACAGTGAATACAGGTAGCAATTTAAGCTGATGTTAAGTAATATACTGCAATGTAAAGTGTTTCCATGAATTATCAGACTCACTTTAAAGCTTAATAGTCTCAACTACATTATAGATAGACTCGAGAAAATATGTTGGCTTTATTATACTTGACCAACAACACTAAAGTTTTTTCTTGTTGTAGCAATTATTGAGACTTCCACACCTGCGCTGTGTTCCATTGATAAAATTCTTGAGGTTATTGAAAATGAGTCAGAATTTATGGATACCCCTATAATTCAAGAGGAAAAAAAAGACTTCTTAAGATGTGATTTCAATAATGTGTAATTATCTTTGTTATATTCAGAGCCAAGTCAGAATAATGAAGCCAATAAATTCAACAACAAAATACCAACTCAACATACTCCTATAAGATGAGAAGCACCCAAGGCCCCGGCGACGGCTGTACCTGCTCCTGCCACCATCCCTAACATCCCTTTACCACTGCTGCCACTTGAGTGTTGTGGTGGTGGTGCTTGCTGAGGAACACAACCGTGACTTGGGTTAGTATCAGTGTTTATTATGAGACATAACAACAAATAAAGGATTCTTAGCTGCAACTGACAGCTCTATGGCTATTACATCTGAATGACTGACTTAAGTTTCTAGACAGTATTCACAAACACCTCTTACGACCATTTCTTTGTTGATTTTTCTTACTTTTGTAAGCTAGTATAGTATAAGGCTTCTACTATTTATTAAGTAGGTACATATCCAATCACAAAACATTTCTCCACATCCAAATTCCTTTATAATGTTCATCTCATAAAACTTTGGTTGTCATGTCAAGAAGATAATTTTTCCAGCACTTAACTGATCTCTCCCCTCACTTGGTGTTTGCTGAAAATGTCAATGCTCTGGTCATTCTAGAGAGGTCGCACTAGATTCATGGACTCCTCAAATACAATCCCATCTGAGATTTTACCTACAACAACATTACATTCAGTACTACCCAGTTTAATCATCCAAAATTTTAAAATTAGGACTTACTGTATTCATAAGATGTGTGTCTACTTTTTTCAAGCAGAAACACAGACATATAAATCCAGGACAACCAGAAAACACAAAATAAATTATTGTCAAAGTCACATCATTTCAAATTAAGATAAAAAAAATATATAATCAATTAACAAGATTTTTAATTTATACAATGAAACAAACATAACATCTATAAGACTCACCCCATACTGGCCGGGGGGAGCTGACTGCTGGTACATTTGTTGGTTGGGAAAAGGTTGAGAATATCCTGGACCACCAGAGTAAGGTGGTGGTGGCTCATAGCCACTGATAGGAGGGTAGTGTGGACCTACTGGGGCCATCTGAGCATATGGAGGAGGACTAGAGTCTTCAATCCATACACACGCTAAGTTCATGTCTTGACTGGTGCTGGCGATATTTAAGTATGTCATCGTTGCCGGGTTGGTGCGATGGTTAAATTCAGCGAAGTGGTCATGATTGATAGCAATCTGACAAAGTGAAGCTAATGAACAACTTCATAAACTATGTACATACATACAAACACACACACACACACAATATTTACAGATGTCTCTCATGAAGTTTAATGAAAAATACTTGAAGAGTTGAGTAACCTCCTTTATCATAACCAGAATAAAGAAGCAAGTGAAAGTTTCAACATGCATTTTCTAATACCTTTAGTTGGGATTACATTTAGAATTTTCGAGAGGTTGCATTCAATATTATCGGAAGTAGGGTCACACACGTCCTATATCTCCCCTTAATAAACACAAGAATACATACAGTATTTTCTTCAACATTTCTGTAGTTTGACAACCAGTAAAAACCCATTAAAAATCCACACACACACACACACAACAAAAGAAGATTTTAATACACACAACATTTCAAATAAAAAAATTATTATCGGGTATACATCAGTAAACCACTGTGCTCATATGAATGGAGTAAATATTTAAAGATTTAAATATTCACAATAAAACAAAAAACAAAAAATAATATTGCAACAAACCTTAAAGTTGATGGGATCACACATGATGGTGACATCAAAGTTCTGTCCTCGTGCAAGAGCCAGAGTGTTGGTGGCCTCCTCTTGGCCCCATCCCATGGCTCTGGTGAAGGAATTTCTTCCCACTACGCCCTCCACCACTCGCCCGTACATACACAGACCAATTTCATCTGTGGGGTCACCAGTTGGTCCAGATTGTAATTTTAGGATGAAACTGAAAAAAAAAAAATGTATATATTACTTTTCTGTTGTGTTTTTCACCACCACCAACAGTTATTTCAACCACTTCCTCTATATCCAATTAATTACGTCTATTATTAATATATTTATTTAAATTTGTTGACAAGTTAACCCCTTCAGTACAATGTCATCCCCAAGTACAAAGAATTAGTCTATCAACCCTTAACCAGCAGTTAAGGATTCCCTACCCCCTTCTCATGTGCACAAAATGTAACACGATGAATGTGAAACTCCCACTGAGGATGGATGCTGTTTAATGGTTGAGATATTACTCGAGTTAATCTTTTTTGCCACAGATAACAGCCCCCCCCCCCTCTAAAGTTTCTTTCAAGTTCTTTCAACAAGTTTAAGAATCCAGAAGAAGCCCAAGATAGTGTTTACACTTAAGATTAAATTGGAGAAACATGTTGCAACTTTATTCAGTATGTTGTAAGAGAGCAGAGTTAAAAAAAATATGTAGGTATATTTCAAAATATTGCACGACAAGTTGCAGGAGTGTATGAAACAAAGTACTCCAGCGTCCTATAGTAAGACGAACGACACACAAATCAATTCACAAACAAACAAAAGAACAGTGGCACATCAGGGTATATTGTACTATATTGGCTAACAACTGCATAGTTAACCGAGGTATTAAATGTGTAGATTGTATGAGTTAGCAATACCCAACTTACCTAACCACAGATCTTGTCTCACCTGTTAGCATTTGTTGTGAAAGTTCCTGTGACATGAGCAATCTTCCCCGGTGAGAAGCCTCCAGGAATAGGTGCCAAGTACGGAGCTCCCTGGAGGGATGAGGAACATCTGTATGAGCTGGATGTTGTGAGAAGATGATAGCTGAATCATAAGAGGATGATGGCCGAGTCATGAGTGAATGATGACCGAGGATCCAAAGGATGATGTGCTGAGTCATGATATATCTCATATAAGTACATTTACACAGGTGTGACATTTCTTATATGAGAACAAATTTCTGCATTGATTTTTTTTTATATTGCACTTACAGCAGTAAGCAAGCTTTCCAATAGCAGCAGTCTAAGGGTTAATATGAGTTGTGTGCCATTTGAAGATCCTGCATTATACCAAAATTATGCTTTAAGTTTTTACAATTGCCAAAAGTCACAAGCAATTTATGTAAGTTTAGGGTATATTAGAAATGAATGTAACTATTATCCATATATCATATATTACCTAACCTAACCCAACCTAAACTAATCTAACCTAAACCAACCTAATCCAACTCCTAATGAGATAAAACAGCACACCCTCACCAGACACAAGCCAGGGTAAGCAAGTTTAGAGACTTTATATATATATATATATATATATATATATATATATATATATATATATATATATATATATATATATATATATATATATATATATATATATATATATATATATATATATATATATATATATATATATATATATATATATATATATCCCCTCCCTGGTTAAACTCACAGGGTTATATATGGGGGCAGCCATGGTAGTTGTCCCTCACGCTGGTTCTGGCCACAACACACAATGCTGAAAATCAACAAGTGTTACAACAGACAGGCTTTATATTCTTAACCTTAAATACACAATATTATACATGAACAATGGAGGAATCCTACACAGGCCACTGACCTCCTTCCCTTGGCAAGGCCCTCTCTACTGAGTGGCCATTAGGTTAATCAGGTAAAGTTAATGTGATAGAGCCTTGTAAACACAAAAGGTGATTTATGATCATAGAGAAAAAATATATAATAGTTCTTAATATAATGATAAGAACATCTTTGTAAAAATGAACGAAATCGAACAACTCCTTCTGGTGGTGGCGGTGTTCTCATATTATACTGTCTACTCCAGTATTACTGAGTTTGGTAGGTTAGGTAAGGTTTTTTAAGTAATTACCGACGACTGACCCACTGCCAATTTTTCATAAAAACGACTTTAAAAAAGATGCAATTTTACTGTTTTATAGTGGACACTGTCATAGTTTGTGAAAATATGTTAAAAAGTGATTATTTCTAAATTAAACTTACATTAACTAACCTTAGTTGATAAGAAAAACAAGTGGCAGAAGCATTGGGCTCTGCCCCCGGACCAAAAACGGTATATTAAACAGAAAAAATCTACAATAAGGTGTAATTTTACGTTTTTTGTGGATGAGAGAGCAGTCGCCTAGACCAAACAGCTTACAAACATACGCTGAGAGTTGGCATCGATCCGGCCTCAGTGGCAGAGTGTTTTGAAATACAGTATGTCAATATGATTGGCTGTTTATATCCGGGATAATGCATTACTGCTGCATCACCGCCAAGAAAGACGAGTAGTGTGTGTGTCTCTTTTATCTGCCAAATGAAGCATTTGCACATGAAATGATTATCATATCGGAACTCACTGATGAAAATATGACATGAAAATAAACATCAAAACAAATAACACGTCAGCAGGTTAGTCGTCAATATTAACTGGTTTGGTAGATTTGGTAAGGTTCTGATAGGTTCTGTGCATTATTACTTCCATTCTCGTGTTCAGTATCATGCAAATAGTATCTCCAGAATTTTGGTTCAATTCCATAAGTTATTTCTGGTGCTACCTATCTCCACCTTTACCAATAGGAATAACTACTATTTCGAGAGTAGACACAATGGAAAGTAGACGAAAAGGGATGTTAACATACATATTGTAGGTCCTTCCCTCTCATTAGTAGTCTGGGCACCTCACAGCCAGGCCAGGTGGCCCTGCCAACTGTCAATTATGGAATCCAATACTTTCTTCTGAAGGTTTCTGTTAAAATAAACCTTACATCTTCCACTTAATATATACAGTTACCAATTATTTTTCTTTAACCACCAATCGCCTTTTTTTTTTTTGCTGTTTTAAATGATTCTGACATTTATCTTTGGGGCAAATCACTTTTTTTTTGTTAGATTAGGTTGGGTTAGGTTGGTTCCTTTGGTATGAGAATGGGTTAGGTTGGTTAGTTGATTGGTTCCTTTAGTATGAGAATAGGATAGGTTAGGTTAGGTTAGGTTATGTTGGTTGGTTCCATTGGTATGAGAATAGGTTATTTTTGGTGTATTACTCAAATCTGACTTTCATTTTTTGCGCAAATTATCATTCTTTGCAAAAAATGTACATTCTCATTTTAACAGAAGCTGCTTATCTGCACAAAAAAAGAGGCCAGATTTGATTAAAACATACCAAAAATAACCTATTCTCATACCAAAAGAACCAAGCAACAAACCTAACCTAACTAAAAGAAAAAAAAGTTATTTGTACCAAAGATAAACGTCAGAATCATCTCAAACAGCAAAAAAAAAAATTAGCGACAAAAATTAATTTTCATGTGTAAAAAGGTGATGGGTGGATAACGAAAAATAACCCAGTTACCTTGTCACTGTAATACCTGAGTAGTGAAGCAAGTGAAGTGGGTCACCAAGACACACCATAACACCTTCATTAATAACATTATACGTTTAAACATCAATAATAACAAAATTACCAATAAATTAATAGAAATTCTAGAGAAAAAAGAAGACCATTTAGTGAAAACTTACGAGACGTCGTTAACGCTCGCGCAGGTTGTTTGTCCTCGTACGATACTGAGGGACTGAACTGACCGACTCATGACCCAGTGTTGCCGAATAAAGTTTGCAAATAGCGCTAGATTCATTCCTTAAGGAAGTTAAAAAGGCGCTAAGCCTAAATAATAAAAAGACCCCCAAAATGCTAAAAATTACTATTACGGTTTACCATACACAAAATTATATCCTCTCTGGGTCGAGAATGTCGCATTTGTTTGCATTGGAAGAAGACTGCGGCAAGTTCAATCTGTCAAATGTGTAAAAAATAGTTCTAAAGACATGTACCCATGAGTCATTGGCCATGACTCGTGTGTGGAAAAGGGCAAGTGGAGATTATTATGTGCAAGGCTGTAAGTTAGAAATAAACATTTGATTCGTTCCTATCGATTTCCTCGCCAAGAAAATATACATGACTCTAGGTGAGATCAACTCATCCGAATTGGTTCTTACCTTTAATTTTGGTAATTTATGAAAACACCGCTACCGCCTGGAGTTGTTCGATTTCGTTCACTTTTTCCACAGACATCCTTATTATTATTGTAAATATTTTAAAACAGGCAACAAATTTTTATTTGAATTCTATGTAGGTGAGTTATGCGCATTACCGCTGCACCACCAACGCAATCATAAATCTCCTGCAATGGGCAGGGCATGAAGGATGAAGGAAATTGTGTCTACGTGCTTTGTAAGTGAAGAAATTAACTACTTACCGTAATACAACTGCGAAAATCTGACGAGTTGCCGCATGTTGTCCGTTTCCAACCGACCTGCTCGTTCCGAACTTCAACAAAAGCATTAGTGTACTTCATGGCAATGCATGAACATTCAAACCATTTGCGCAGGTTCAGAAAAACATTTGACTTGTAGTGGATTCCTCCCCTACAAACGCTGTTTGTCGCCGAGTAGCCGACCCCGCGAATTCCCCAGTGTATGCCTCATGGTCTAGGTCAACCAGCGCCGCCTTACACGACTGAGGTCAACTACTAAGCCACGCCTACCCCCGCTATATAATAATAATAATAATAATAATTAACGGTTTATTGAAAGAGCTTGGCAGCCAGAAGGCTGAAAATATACAGTTACATATTTGGGGAATGGGTTACGAATTACAAATAATATACAAGTAACATGAGTGACACAAATAAGACATATAATAACTAGATGTGGAAAAGCTCAAACTACAGTTCATTTCAACATAGTGACAGTGGAAGGAGCAGTGTTTACTGGGAGTGAATACACTGATTTATTACAAGTTATTGATAATTTTTACAATGGTTGGGACTGGGCTGTTCTTATAGCGATCAGTTCGTGCACGTATGGGCTGGATGCGGTTGTGGTGTCGAACAGCAATTCTCGGACAAGGAATCTCAGGTGGTAGTAGGAGCCGGTGTCGGGGATGGTGTAAGACCTGACCTCGTGGTGACCCCCGGAGAGTCGCACTCACACAGGATGGAGGAGAAACTGATCACTCTCCCAGTCTTCAAGCAACATGGAAGACTGGCTTATCTACACAGAGGCAGCTCTCATCAGCTCTACAGCTACTGTCTCTACACCGCAGGTTAGACACCCTAGAGCAGCACTGCTTCCCTAAGCAGACACCAGCTCCTCTTCCTGCCCCAAGCACCACATCCTACCGACCCCAGCACACCCGCCCTGCCTCAGACGCCACCCCCGGCCCAGCAGTACCCCATGCCACTGCCCTGGACCCTCCTCCGCTCCTGCCTGGCAGCCCATGCGCCTGAGCGGCCCCACACACCTTTTTTTTTCCCTCAGGTACTCCCTGCTACTGTCCTGCACCCTGCTGCTGTAGTGGACCCTGCTGCTGTCATGCACCCTGCTGCGGTCATAGACCCTCTTCCTGACGCAGCCCCTGCTCCTGACCTAGACGCACACACCCCAGCAGTCGCATCTGAGGACTCTGTACCTGTCGCGAGGGAAGCACAACATTCATCGCCTCCACAACCCTCCTTCTCCCTCTTTTCTCCCACAGATCTCGTGTATCTAGACAGAGTTGCCTCCCCTAGCAGTCGGCTAATCCACACCCTCGCCGTTGTCTCACATGTGGCATACAACCCAGCTGACAACAAGTCTCCTGCACCGCCCGTTCTGCCTCACATGTGGCATGCACCACCCGTTCTGCCCCAGACGCCGCCCTCGACCCACCAGTACCCCCTGCCACTGTCCTGGACCCTCCTCCGCTCCTGCCTGGCAGCCCCTGCTCCCGACGCGGCCCATGCGCCTGAGTGCAGACCCACACACCTCTCTTTTCTCCCTCAGGTACTCCCTGCTACTGTCCTGCACCCTGCTGGTGTTGTGGACCCTGCTGCTCTCATGCACCCTGTTGCTGTCATGGACACTCTTCCTAACGCAGGCCCTGCTCCTGACCCAGGCCCACACACCCCAGCAGGCGCATCTGAGGACTCTGTGTGTATATATATATATATATATATATATATATATATATATATATATATATATATATATATATATATATATATATATATATATATATATATATATATATATATATATATATATATATATATATATATATATATACAGTATATATATATATATATATATACACATACAGGTTGTACCTCTCTAGTCCAGCATTCTGTGGTCCGGAAACTCCCATGGTCCGGAACATTTTAGTTTGTCCAATAGGTAGATAGGCAGCTTTTTTTTTTTCTTTTTACTTATCTGAATTATTATTATTATTATTACAGGAGTATTAAATTTTTGCCCCTCAGGCCCCAATGTGGGTCAGTGACCTATGCCCGGGTGGGCTAATCCCCTTAACAAAAAAAAGCCGCGGGAAATTAAGGTTTGTTTACATCCGGCAGTTCGGCTGCTCTCTCTCTCTCTCTGCTTGTCTATACAGAGTACAACATTTAACCCTTCAATATATATGAGCAGTAAATAAGTGTTGCTTTCATATTCTTATGTAGAGTAATAACGATATGTTTTCACATGTGCGCACTTACATACGCGCAGTCTCACTTTTTTTTTTACCATTAATGGTTAGCTACTTATATTGTTCCATTTATTACATTAAATAACATTACAGGTACTTCAAACAACCATATTAATTTTTTTACATTAATTTTACTACAGTTAAAATCAGGGTCTTATTTTCTTCAGTTTTATATGTAGAACCAATCAATCACTGGTTTTGTAAGCTTTAACATAAACAATGCCGGCAGCCGTCTCGTCTCCTCTAATATTCCACATATTATTAATAAATTGTATTGTTTATTTTGCACACACAAACATTAATTCAATAAAAACAAATTCAGAAACCTTAATTAAAATATATATGAACAGTAAATAAGTGTTGCTTTCATATTCTTACGTAAAGTAATGACAATATGTTTTCACGTGTGCGCATGCGCACTTACATACGCGATCTCTCTTTTTTTTTACCATTATCGTTAGCTACTTCTATTGTTCCATTTATTAACATTAAATAACATTACTTAAAACAACCATATTAATTTTACTACAGCTGCAGCCAAGGTCTTATTTTCTTCAGTTTTATATGTAGAACCAGTCAGTCACTGGTTTTGTAACCATGAAAACAATGCTGTGTCATTTCCTCGTGTGTTCTAATATTCTACGTACTATTAATGAATTGTATTGCTCATTTTGCACATAAACATTAATTCAATAAAAAAGACATTCAGTAATAAACAATAATGAATCTTTTGTACATAAGAGAAATGACGCTGTTTACACGATTATGCACGTCGTCTGCACGTTGGCGGGCCGTTCAAACCTGTCGAAATTCAAGTTTCCGCCGTCAAAATTTTTATTGATTTATTTTTTTGTGTGTTCCATTAAAATACGTTAAGAATTAAAAACTCGCGAAATTTGAGAAGCTACTATATGACATTTAACCCTTCAATATGTCTTCAAAGAGACCATGATGCAGAGAAAGTGGTGCTAGTGCTTCCAAGCATAAGCACAAGTTACTATCTATCCAGGAAAAGGGTGAATTTCCATGGTCCGGCACCAGTCAGGTCCCGAGGTTGCCGGACTAGAGAGGTACAACCTGTACCGGATTTGGTAAAACGTTACTCTGAACACTTACGAGGCACGGGTAGTCCTCTATTGGAGGTTCACGGTGCCATAAGCTTGATGAACAGGCTTTGTGTGAAATATAACAAAGTCTAGGACTACTTTTAGTGTTCTAGAGGTAACGTTACCCGGTCACACACAAAAGATCGTGGGTTCGAGTCCTGGCGGGGTGCGGTTGTTGTTGATTAGTATGTATATATATATATATATATATATATATATATATATATATATATATATATATATATATATATATATATATATATATATATATATATATATATATATATATATATATATATATATATATTGGGGATCCTACTGGAAATAAGCAATTGGTGGTTTATTTTCAACGTAACCACATCGTGTCATGTCATATATGACAAGTCTACTCTTTTGACCTCGGACTTCCTTACTGACAACTTCTGAATTTACATTGTTGGACTCCAAGACTTGGAAGACAGAAGAACAAAAAAAAACACTCAGTTGAGGGGAAATGGAAAAATGTTCCTCCTATAATGAATTGAGTGACTCATCAGTTCCCAAGTGTTTACAAAACACAAACCAATAACATTCCCACTTCAAATGGCGGACAGAGCCAAAGATGAAAATGTGTGGGACACAGCAGGTAGAATGTCTTGACACATTTGAGGTGTTCAGCTTGGTGTACTGTACAATACAGTACCTGCCACCAGAGAATCTAACACCCTCTCTGCCCCACACCACGCAACACCTGACAACTTCCCGCTCATCCTTAACACAACATACATAACTATTCAACATAATTTCTACAAGAGATCTCTGTAGAAGGTGGTGGAGCAACCCACTAGCTGATGAAAGGTAGTGGAACAACCCTTGGGTAGACTAGCATCCTCCAAGGTGGTGGAGTAACCCACTTGCTGTTGGATGTTACAAACCAGATCACCACCTGACAATAAAAGACTTGTATGTACAGTTAATTTATACAGCATTGTGTATACAAAACTCACACACACTTACATTGTTGTTATTCTTTCAAGACATTTCCTTCTATAATTCAAGTTTGCCAGAATAAATAACAAACAAACACATTCTCTGATTGTTGTGTCATTCATTCTAGTTTAATGTCTGGTTTACCCTTTATTTCTCACACTCTTACATCATCCACAAGCAGCAAGTCATTCCCTAAAAGTCACTTGACTCACATGACTATTCCTTGGGTGTCCATCCATCTCATTTCTACCAAGTTCTTCAGTCCATTCTTCCATCTCCATTCTATTTCCATTCATGCTAGTATTCACTTCTTGTTGCCTCCCTTCTTCACTTACTTTCATTTTGTTTCATTCACATTCACTGCAAAGTAACAAGGATAAGAAATGAACATAGATGCAAAAAGCACACATCATTTATTTATTAAACATATGGAGTGATCATAAAACACTGAGTCAAAGAAATGATTTCACTCATGTTAATATCAAGTGTGTACCGACAGTAACAATGATCAAACTACATATCATATGGAAACATATTAAACCTACGTTATGCCCAAATGTATCATGTAAACATCAGGGATTGTGTTAGGCTCAGGGTCAGAACATCAAACTGGCAATAAGGAATAATGAGCATGTAATGTTCTTGTTCACATCTCACAATTTCTTCTCAGAGCAGAACAATTTACAAAGGCAAGAATTATTGTTCTGAGTTTGTCCTGTTAAGTCAGCGATGGATTGTCCAACTTTAATGCCCAATAATTACCTAACACCACAAACCTTTCAAGTGTGCTGCGAGGAATCTATTTAGGGGCTGTACCCAAAGTTTGCTCATACACGCATTTACTTTATTTTGTTCAAGAGTTTCACGATTGTTACTTTGCTTTTTACATGATTTAGTTTATTACAAAGACCATCCTTCAATTAGAGTTTGATTTAAATCATACATTGTAGTGCTTGTCATGATGCGTGATTATAAAACTTCTGAATAAGAATTTCATATCAACAAAATTTAACCTCATTTTCATCTACAAGTGAAATTTATTATACAATACATTATTTAAAAGCTGAAAACTTAAACATGTGCAAGTTAATTGAAGTAAATGTTATGGTAACACTGAACTACTGTACTCTCCATCAATACTATTTCCACTATAGTTGGTAAACAATTTCTCCAAACTTTACTAGTGATGCAGCACCTGACTTGCATCACCACACATACTACTGTACATCCACCATTTCATTTCAACCAACTAGCTTAAAATCTTTTTATATAATTTTTCTTCCTGTGGCAACACAAATACTGTACACTGTTACAATTTCCTCCTGTATGTGTGACCACAACTGTACAGTGTTCAGTAATTTAACTTTACAAGTCAACAAACTATCCTTGGTAACTGGTTGAGATTATAAAATTTACATAAATTAACAAGATTAGTCTTATTTCTTAAAATTCAACTAAAAATACATTGTCCTACTGAACTGAAGATTATTATCTTAAATTAGAAGCTCAGACTGAGTGAAGAGATATGTTGGATTCAGTCGTGACAGACAGACACATGCCTGTGCAGTCTCTTACTCCTACCGATGGTTTTATTTCTCTCTGACCACAATAACACAGCTGCCTGGCACACACTTAACACTTAAACTATCCTTCAAAGATCACAACTTTCCACCGCCCTGTTTTCTCAGCGTTTCCTTTATAAGCATTTCTAAGATTTTTCTTCCTGTTGTGTTTCTGCTCCTTCTCTTAGGCCCACAATGTCCCTTATACATTTAATAACTCTTATGTATACAGTGTATTCTAAGTAATAAACATAATCTTACACCCTTTCTTCCAAGTTTTACTTCTCATTATCATATTCATGTGGTATTTGCTTCACTAATATGGTCAAGTGAATCAACTTAAATTTTTTTACAATGGGTGTATTCAGTACTTTTGGTAAATCTTTAAATACTTTCAGATTAAGAGATAGCTCAAAAGCCAATATGTTTGGGAAGATTTTTGCATGCACCATCTGACTTGGAGTGCAGGTAAAGGTAACAAGATAAAACGGTCGAGCTAAATCTCTTTGTTATCATACATTGCAAACACTGGACAGAGCCCCTATGATCAACGTACCATAACCGATGCAGGTTGGAATTGTGTTTTTCCAACATCTGATATTTATGACATTTTTTTTTTAACCATACTTCATTTGTTTAATATCTTCAGTTTGTAAATACGGCAAAATACTGGACTGTAAATTTTCACCAATTAGTTATGGACATTACTGCATTAAAATTTGTCTTTAATATCTTTGGAAGGTCACTTGGGTGCTCTTCAGGACAATACGAGGGACAGGGGGTGTTTGGCCGAAATTTGGACGGGGGGGTCAGATGGGTAAGTTGATTTGTAGACCATTTCCTAAAGTCAACTTCAATAATAATAATAATAATAATAATAATAATAATAATAATAATAATAATAATAATTAATAATAATAATAATAATAATTAATAATAATAATAATAATAATAAAAACTGCTTCACACACAAAGTTACTTAAATAAAAAAAAATGCATTTGAGCAATATAAGTCAACTCACAGTAATTGATGGTATTAGAGAGGAACGTTGAAAGCACCAATCACGAGCAACATCAACTATGTGCTCGTATTCAGTTAAAATATAATCCATGGTATCAACAACTTTGGTTCACTCAGTTTTCCCATTAATGTTTTGAGCACAAGAATTATCTAATTATTTTTTAAACACAAATAATATTTCTACAGCAGTTTTTTATGTCAAATATACTACAAGTCAATAATATGTATTGTGATAATTGGCTTAAATCAAAGGGAAATGAGAAAGAAAAATACCTGTGGCAAAATAACAAGATGTAAGCTATGGTTGTTCTCTCCATAACTTTGGATCTTTGGAATGCTATACAAGTACAGTACTATAAAAAGCTAAAAAAAAGAAGAGTATAATTTAAACTAAATAAGATTAAATAAGACAATTTAATCCACTTCACTTATCAGGAGCTGACATAAATCACAAAGTCACTCCCAACAAGTATGAAGGAGATAGAACAAGGAAATATCCATTAAAGAATGGATTTATTTTTTAATAACACAAATGAAAATATGTGGATAAACCATACTGTGATGTACTGGTTCAAAAAAGCTAATAATACTTTTTTTTTATTTTGTTGCACAAATTATGGAGATAAATATGGATTACAAAACTTTGGGATCACTTAATGTTACATGACACAGGGCACAGTCAACATGAGTGTATCTTTTCTTAACAACACAAGTTAGTGGAATATATAAAAAATTTGTTTCCTTCTGGCTTACATACATACACTTTGACACACTTCTTTGTTACTGGTGAAGGCAGGAACTCCCTCCTGAGCATCAACTAAGCTCCCAACAGCAAATTAACCTAGACATAAATGTGTGTTGTCTTGAACTAATAGCAAATGGGCACTGTTGTAGGTCCATAGTGCAATGATATACCTTTTTTTCTTGTTTTTTCTTAACTGAACAATTTGAGGGTTGAGGGAGCAAAGTCAAGGCTGAGATAGGTAGTCTGTAGGCATCATTGTCGCAATCATGGTAGTCCTCTGTTGTGGCAGAGATCTTCCTCTATTGTAGGAGATCTTTCTCCATTGTGGCAGAAATCTATAACTTTATTGTGGCAGAAATTTTTCTCCTATGGCAAACATCTTTCTCCTTTGTGGCAGATATTTTCCTCCTTTCATGGCAAAGATCGACACACATACATGGGAAAGATTGCAATGAGATAACAAGCTTGTTTCTGCAATCACCAGTGGTAGCAAATGTGAATGTGGGGCAGCATGAGATGTGGGGAAAGTGGTGGTGGGCATCACTGAGCATCCGTATGTGGCTGAAGGGTAAAAGACCTACTGGGACCTGGGACTTGGGATGTGTAGGAAATAAAATTATGTTATAATGAGATACCGTATGGTTGTCCGTGAAAGTGTATAAAGACAATGTGGGGTACGGTCAGTGATTTTGTGAAAGTTATAAAGTATGTAGAGAAGGAGGATGTGGAGTCAAGAAGATGGTCTGAGGTGGTGTCTAACATGACATGTGAGGGGTAGGAGGGACTCTGGTTTGACTACACACCAGGTGATTAAGGAAAAAAAAAAAAAAAAGATTCAAAATAAAGAAATGAGGACATGGAATATAAAATATGTCATCTCCAACCTGAGAGCTAAAGTTTTACCTTTTAATTACATACAACCATGTGTATAAAATGATTAATATGACCTCCTCTCACATAGACCCATATCTCGGCGCTTGTACAATACAGAGCTGGCCGTGTAGTACAAGATGTAGCATTCTTTGCGTGCCAAACATTCCAACAAACTTTATAAAGAATTTCCAAAATACTAAGACTGGATGGTCCTTAGGCCTGTAATTTTGAGATTCGCACATTTTATGAAGTACCCACAATGACCTTCTCCAATAAGAATACGCATACATCAAAATCTTACTCTAAAGCCATCTGTAATAAATGCAATGGTCTAAGGGAATGATATAAAAAAACAGACTTCACTGTCCATTATTACTCCAAACAAATATGCTGTGACAGTTATGATAATGCTGTACCCAAAATGTACATATGGTATCAGAAGATTCATTAACTTGTAAATATGAATAAATCAAATAAAAAAAAATAATGTGTGGGATACATTTCACTACCAATGGGATGATCTCTTATGACAATACCTTAAATGAACATACATGAGCCAAATACTAATAATGAAAAAGCTTTACATGTGTTTACTACATGAGGAGCGCAACAACCGGATAATTGGCGGCCTGAGGCAGCCAGAGTCCATCCTTATAGTTGGCACCATTACCCACACTGGAAAAACCCATGAACCACATTTCTTGCAATAATTCTTGACCAAAAAATTTCAAAGCACCACTAGTCTTGTCTTCTTGTACATAACTGAATTATCCATCCACTAATTTGAAGACTTACTGAAGTCAGTTTTCATTCATGCTGATACTCAGTATATAGTCAGTAATAACAGACCACTACTTGTGATAAATAAGATTTCTTCACTATCGACAATCCCTCTGCGACTTCCGTTCTTCTCAATCAATCAATCACCTTCACACTTCAACAGATCATAAATATATTTTAAGCATTACTTCTCACTAAGGCCTGACACAGTTACTCATACTCAAAGAGTTAAAACAACATTATACAGTACCAGGGCTCCATTTCATCACCAAACAGCAGAGTTTGTTTGTTGGTATATGACCACTTCCTCACTGTTAATGCTGTTGCTTTTCAACTTTAATTTCCTGCAAGTTTTCTTTCTCTTTTTTACACTCTCTTGACAAGTTTATTTCAGGATGTGAATATAGTTGTCTTTTTAATCAGTACCACAGATGTTTCAATGCATTACAGTAAATGTGGTTATTTGATTTATTTGTGGTAACGAGGGGAACAGTATGTTGTTATGCCCCTGTGACTGGCAGCACTGAGGAAGGCTGACCCAGTGAGAGGCAGCAGCAGTAGTCAGGAGAGCCCCACAGGATGGCCACTTACAGCATTAGTATCACAAGTTTACTCCAGCGGTGGGGCTGAAGCTGAAACGTGCCAACAATCTAATTAATATCTAACTAAAAAAAAAAATCTAACCAACACCTTAATATAAACATAGTGAAAAAGAAACATAAAAAATGTGGTTTTAAATTTCAGACTGCAGAGAAACATGTCCTAAAACAGCTCATAATAAAAATTCAAATGGAAGAACATGATAAACTCTCCACTGTATACAATAACAGTCCCATACATGAGGGAGACCAGAGATGAATTATTTATCATTTACCAGCCAGAATCAAGAGACCCCCGAGCAGATCTCAAAGATATAATTACAATATATGAATAAAATACAGTACAGTATATCTAACAGTGGAACAAAACTTCATATGAAAAATAATTAATTGTAAAAAAAAAAAAAGAACTAAGAGCTTAATACATGTAGAGTGAGTATGTTTGACTAACTGTATAATGGAGAGAAAGACACTATAGCATTTCCTCAGTGTTTATGTTGAGGGGGAAGAAATCACAGAGTTAGTTTGAGGGCTCTTCTTAAGTGTGTACAAGATGGGGTGTCCAGAAAAAGTCAAATTTGGCTTATATAAGACTCACTGGATATACACTTCTTTTATACATAGCCTAAATAAAGTTAGATTAGGTTAGGGTAAGGTTAATGTTATACTGTATAAGGTTAAGTTAAGGTAAAGTTTGTTTAGTTAATGTCGAAAATCTAACCTATCCAGTGGTGATTGGAGATTGACAACCGTGTTGTTAAGTAGAATTAAACTACTGTATTACCTGTATCATCTAGGACAAAATCCAAACAAGGATTAATATAATTCTTAATAATTTGTTTACATTAAACTATTCAATAATTTTTAGTTACTAAATACGTAGAGCTAAATTGGAAAAATTTTAATACTATAATAATGGTTTTGCATCTGAAAGGTTGATATCTCTGTGACAGCTATGGGACAGTTTGGTTTGTTATCAGCAGAAACCGTCAACATGCACACCATAAATCCTAAAATTCTGTCGGTTAAGACAATATTCAAGGGTTAAATACCACTATGTAACTTTTGTCATAATTTTCACTTGTTTCTTACAGTATTAACTTAGTATAGTAATTGAAATATTTATATGACAATTCAGCTGGGGGGCATAAGCCATATTAATACTGGGGCTATTAAAGTCCTATTTTCTCTTTGTTCGGTTAAGTTAAGGATGTTCTCATAGAACATTTTTAAAGAGGCAACAAAGTGATGGGATTCAGTTTAAGTTTATCAACATCAAGATTAATCAGACTACATCTGCAACAGCTAAGTACAGGTACTGTACTTCTCTGTGTATTATTATACTAGTACAGTAGTCTAGACTTCTGGTACAACATGAATAGGAGATTTTTAGTGGCCACCTAAAATTCTTACATTACAGTGGTAACTTGTAAGTGTAGGAGTTGAAATTTAATAGTACTGTAATTATTACCTACCTATAGTATTTACCTTATTTACTTAATAATCAATGTTTCAATAGTTCATTTTGGTGGTTAACATCACACTTTACCACGTATGGGGTTGTAAGCTCAATTCTGTGTTGTCTTATGACAACTAACCCACCTTATAGAGATATTATCCAGGAGGTTATTACCTTAATTATTTAAATATTCATTTGTATCAGTACTTAAATTTAGATGGAGAAGTTGATTTAGAATATATTTAGTTACTCTTAGGGTCCACTGAATAGTGGGTAAATTATTTATATTCAGTCCATCAGCTTACCTCCCTAGACTGTTGAATCAAAGACCAAGTGTTTGAGTATTGTTGCTGTCGAAAATAAATTCTGCAAGGGGAGGATTTCCGGATATAACCATTTGAACCGAGAAGTGGAATATATTTTGAAAGATATCGACACGATAGTGGTTCGCAGTTCATTAATACTGTACTGTTAAGGAAAGCGGGTCAAATTTCCGACAGTTAAGGTCATGATAAATTAAAATTAGGTTTGTGACTTTTTGCTACACTCCAAGATGTTCCAAGAGAAACATAGAACTGTGTGACTGGTTTGAGGTTGAGTTAGTGACAAGGAAGTATTAATTTGCTAAAGTCAATGTGTTTATAACAGGCTAGTGAGAGAGGTTCTGGATGATGTTAGTTGTGTGATAAGAAAATATATTCAAATAATGGGACTTGTGGGATGATACAATAGTAAATAAAGAATAACCAACAAACTTAACCCACAACCAGTGGCTAAGGTTTTCTTACTCTGCCCCACTGATGATGGCCACCATCACTACAGCTAACTTCTGCTGATGATGGCCACCATCCCTACAGCTAACTTCCATTGATGATGGCTGCTGTTTAAGAGTGGTTGTGATAAATGAAGAAGAATTGATGCTGATGAAAGCATAAGAAATAACATCTTGTAACATTTCTAACAAGTATGGTGGCAGGAAAGCTAAGATTATAAGAAGTGTGATGGCAGGAAAGCTAAAATATCCAAACAAATTTCTGAATATAACTTCTTATAATGTTTACCCCCCCAAAAAAGAGAGAGAAAGTTGACAATATATTACGCTATCATAGTGTGTGTCTGAATGGTGGTGTTATCACGAAAATACAAATTGTACAGTACAGCAGATTGAGAAACGAGGGAATTGCAGGAAGATACTTAGTAAGGACAGGTTTGGTCCTTAAAATAAAGAAAAGGGTAACAGAATGGGTATGGACAGCTAGGTTAGGTTAGGTTTGGTAAAGTTTGGTTAGGTCAGGTCAGGTCAGGTTAGTTTGGGTAAAGATTGGTCAAGTTAGGTTGAAGTCACTTTAGATGTCGTAACTTTAATTAAGAGTCTGAAGGTCATTACTTCAAAAGGGTCAATATATTGGTCACGTGTTGGGGGTGCGATGTGTGTGTTAAACAAACCCAACCTAATCTTTAACCACCTCGACAGCAACACTCTGATAATTTAAATCATGAACCACAGATCGAAAGAAAAACATCTGAAGGCATTGTAACTCTGAGGAAGAAACAAAGTTTTAGAGAGAGAGAGAGAGAAGAGAGAGAGAGAGAGAGAGAGAGAGAGAGAGAGAGAGAGAGAGAGAGAGAGAGAGAGAGAGAGAGAGAGAGAGAGAGAGAGAGAGAGAGAGAGAGAGAGAGAGAGAGAGAGAGAGAGAGAGAGAGAGAGAGAGAGAGAGAGAGAGAGAGAGAGAGAGAGAGAGAGAGAGAGAGAGAGAGAGAGAGAGAGAGAGAGAGAGAGAGAGAGAGAGAGAGAGAGAGGAGAGAGAGAGAGAGAGAGAGAGAGAGAGAGAGAGAGAGAGAGAGAGAGAGAGAGAGAGAGAGAGAGAGAGAGAGAGAGAGAGAGAGAGAGAGAGAGAGAGAGAGAGAGAGAGAGAGAGAGAGAGAGAGAGAGAGGAGAGAGAGAGAGAGAGAGAGAGAGAGAGAGAGAGAGAGAGAGGAGAGAGAGAGAGAGAGAGAGAGAGAGAGAGAGAGAGAGAGAGAGAGAGAGAGAGAGAGAGAGAGAGAGAGAGAGAGAGAGAGAGAGAGAGAGAGAGAGAGAGAGAGAGAGAGAGAGAGAGAGAGAGAGAGAGAGAGAGAGAGAGAGAGAGAGAGAGAGGGAGAGAGAGAGAGAGAGAGAGAGAGAGAGAGAGAGAGAGAGAGAGAGAGAGAGAGAGAGAGAGAGAGAGAGAGAGAGAGAGAGAGAGAGAGAGAGAGAGAGAGAGAGAGAGAGAGAGAGAGAGAGAGAGAGAGAGAGAGAGAGAGAGAGAGAGAGAGAGAGAGAGAGAGAGAGAGAGAGAGAGAGAGAGAGAGAGAGAGAGAGAGAGAGAGAGAGAGAGAGAGAGAGAGAGAGAGAGAGAGAGAGAGAGAGAGAGAGAGAGAGAGAGAGAGAGAGAGAGGTAGGAATTATAATACAGCATATATACTATGAAATAACTGGAAAATGTATAATATGTGATTATACAGTACACATGTAGGTATGCTTTTCCAACACTCTTGAAGTCTTTTCCTGATGTATTATATATGGCTGGATGAAACACACACACACACACACACACACACACACACACACACACACACACACACACAAAACACACACACACACACACAGGGTATATATATATATATATATATATATATATATATATATATATATATATATATATATATATATATATATATATATATATATATATATATATATATATATATATATATATATATACTGTACTGTAGATAAATACAGAAATACCGTAACCTGTAATGTACAGTAAATAGTACATAAAATAAAAATATTCAATAATATTCAAAGAGAATGAGTGATCTTGTCCTTCCCTTCAGTCAGTCACAAGTGAAACAACAATACACAGAACATCTAAGTAATTCTGACAAATTTTCATAAAATTGTCTCCATCTTTTTACTCCTAGACAAAATTTAAAGATTTATTATGGCCAATGGATTATAGATTAACAGGAGTTTTAACCACTATACTAATCACATGAAGATTTGGTAACCCAGCTTATTTTAACTGAAGATGAATCAACCTAATGCAATAAGCTGGGGGCCTAATCTTCATGTGATCCCATTAAACTGATGTCAGAAATTAACTGTAAAGCAAAAAAATAATTTTACAAATTAATAATGGCTAAAAAAAATTAAATCTGGTTGCTGGCAAATTTTAAAAGTGCTTCTCCATTTATGCAACATTTGTTAAGGTTGACTGGAGAAGCTCTGGCAAGGGTGTACAACTACAATGCTCTTGTGAGTGATAATTACAAGTGGTTGAGTAGGAAAATGCAAGGAGGTGCAACACACAAACACACGTACCTTACACTATACGGCAGAGTTCTCGTGTCGTCTCCCGCCTGCAACATGTTACAAATAAAAGCTTTTTGAGGCACTGGAGCAAGTGATCATTACCATGTGGGGGTCCCTGCCGACACTCTCATCTGGGCCTTATATCTTGTCTGTGTGTGTGTGTGTGTGTGACTATTCTGTGCTAGGACATGAGATGTGCTTTCACTTACAGAATTTAATAAGGGACCAAATAAAACATCGGTGTTTTGAAATGGACATCTTGGTGTAGAGTCGTAGACACAGAAATAGTCAGCAACGAGCTAACACGTTAACAAGATGTAACCCCAGTTAAAGCAGGCAAGTATTTTAACAAGAAAAGTCATTTGAGAACAGGAGCTAACTGGTAGGTGTTACAATGTACCAAATGAGTCTTACTGGATTAAAGAAAGCTACATTATTATGACTAAATCAATTACAGTATTATATGGGAAAGTCTATCAAATATTCTGGTAATTAGTTTTAACCTAACATCTGAACTACAAGCTCTTTATTAACTTTGGAAAAATCAAGCATAATCTACAAGCTGCTTATTAATGCCAAGGTGAAATGACTGGATGAACTACAAGCTGGCAGTTGTTAATATGAGGTGCCAACAGTTAGCACCCACTTCGTCAGACTCTGGGTTTACCACAGGTCTGGTGAGGCTCAAAGCTTACCCAAAATCTTTACCATATATCACATATTGTACTGTAAACTGTTGTGGTTAGACTCTACTAAACACACCTCAACATTATGTATCAATATTAACACAATGCTCTAAAGCTTCATATGCCAAAGGAAGTAAATTCTAATTCATACTTAGAGAATAACAACTATCAATTAATCAGATTCATAGATTAATTATGAGGTATATGTTACCTTCAACACTGTACCAAACTTATGAATGAACTGTCCATGTCAACAATAGTCTTCACTCTTCATGCCCTAACATTGCTTCTTGCTTCTCATATAAACCTAAAAGACTTTAAGAATGAGAGTGTAATCATGCAGCTTTTTGTGCAGGTGTTTGTGTGTTTATTTTTGAAGGGTGGTGTTTGTGTGTTTGTTTGTGCAGGTGTGTGTGTGTGTGTATGTTTGTGCAGGTGCAAGGATCACAACAATGGGTTACAGTGTGTGGGTTCACCAAACTTCCCCACAACAACAATAACAATCTCTTACACTGTGGTAAATTTCTTGCCTGCCATGCATCAAGACTGACATAAACCAGTGAAGTTTTATGCGTTTAATGCAGTTTAAAAGTTCATTAGTGATAAATGATAATTACCTCTAACTGAACCATTAATTACCAGGCAGCAGTTATCGTGTTGGTCTATCGAGTAATATACGTGTGGGTGATTGGATAATCCTGTTTACGATTCGTCGCGGTAACACACCCCAGCGGATGCCACTGTCCTTGGGATTTCTTCTGTGTTGATCCATTTGTTGGTTTTTATGTGTGTCTGATAATGTGTTGGTGTGTTTCCTGAGCAATTTCTTCGAGGCTGCAAGGGTGTGTGTGTGTGCTGAGTACGTGTAGGTGTCAAGTTTTGCTCATTTGTGTGTGCGTTCATGTGTATGTGTGTGTAATTTGTATCGTGTGGTACGTACTTATCTGCATGTGTAAAGAAAGACAATGCTGATATCATTAATTTATCAGTATTTTCAAATAACCTCATAAAATAGATAAACTGTAAATCTAAACCATCACCCATATTACACACACACACACACACACACACACCCCATGAATACCCCATTGTACACTAAGAGAAATAATACAAGGTCAGACACATGCAGGTCTCAAAAACAAATACAAAATAACTCAGTGTTAAAAGCATTTGTCAATATTATTGATTATTACCATCCACACACAGGCGCCAGCTGAAAGATGCCCGCCATTTCAAGAGTTATTTTGATAGGCTGTTTCAAATTAGTCTGAGTCCGTCCTGAAGTATGATGTACAGTATTTAATTTGTTTCAAACAACTGGCTAGAAATATTACACGGCCTCTGAAGGTTGGTTGATGAGTGTGACAGACTAGGGAGCTAGGATGCCTAACCGTCAGCAGAGGCAGGAAATATGAAGTAGTTCGCAGTCATATTTCCCGCCTCTGCTGACGGCCGTGTAATATTTCAATGTGATTCTGATCGTTAAAAAAGCTAGTTTTTTGCATCATGTAGTATTACTGACACGTAATTTGTCTTATTATGCTTTATTGTAGGTAAAAATAAGTAAATATTAAATGCGTCCTCCAAAAGCGTCAATTTGTTACCAGAGTTTACGAGTTAATTTATCTATAATACTTCTGATAAGCTTCCTATGTGCTCATGTTTGAAATAATGAATGTACTGTATGTATCTTTATATAATTTAGTTAAATATATTTCTCGCCAGAAACGGTCATCCCAATGATTATGAATAAACTCATTTATAAATACATCATTACTTCAGGACAGAATCTGACAGATTTGCAACAGCCAATCAGTTATAACTCTTGAGGAGGGGGCGAGGCATCTTTTCTCAGCTGGGAAAAACACACTATAGTGAACTAATAAACCCCTTTGTAGATGTATTGTCAGAGCATCAAACAAGCTGTTATGTTGCATGGGGTAATTACTGAACATTTTCTATGGGATTAGTCTAATATATCTTACTGTTTTTTGTTTTGTTTTTAAGGACATTATCGTAACATGTGAGGCTGTTTAGCTTCAGTGTCAGCATCACCAAGCTACTCAGATGTTCTACACTTGGGTTTAGTCATATTGGTGAACTTGTTTACAATATAATGTATCTGCAAGAGGATGCATTAGTTGACACAAGTGTTGCCATGTACTAAGCAGTGTAGTGGTGGATGATGATGAAGAGTATGGCATATACTGTATAATGTATGTATGTATGTGTAACTGAATTTTAAATTTTGTCATATACAGCAGCTGGTTTATTGTGCACCCCATACTCATCCTCTGAACCCCTAACCATACACTCCCTTAAGGTAAGTAGAAAATGGTCATGCAAATAAAGGGATAAAAAAAGGAAATGTTATCATCATGCAAGAAACACGGAAATTATTTGCCTCAAGAGGCCCGAGTCAAATCTGGTTGTGGTTAAGACATAAACTAGTGGAGCTGACATCATCTAGGTATGACAAAAGGATGTAACTTGTACCTCAGTACAGTACTACCATTCTTGGGAGCTTAATGACTATTTTAAAAGCATTTTCCACACCTCTGGATTTAAGGAAAACTGTTCAGTAATGACTGGTACGAACATGCTCAAAACAAAATAAAAACTGCAAGTACTGTACATCATCAGCATTAATACTGTACATTACTATGACCTTGTCCAGCTTGTGTGAGTAACAATAGGTGACCTCAACCACAACATGGGGTCTTACACTAGGTGCTGTACTGTACCAACACCTGGAACAACCTTACCTTAACCTCTACAATATTTGTCTCTCAACTTGGTATTAATACAACTTACAAACATTACCAATGAATGAGTTACTCTTCCTAAATTCTTTAACTCTATAACTGCTACACTGACTATAATTTAGATGATATGATATATTAACTTAATACTGTAGCAGAAAAAAGCTTATACAGCATGTTACCGACAGATAGATATACAGTATAGAAACAGATAGTGTATATAAATAGGGATATATGTATTTATCAAGACAAATATTGGTCCTTACGAGTGGCGGCCCTAGACAGGACTATTACGCATGACTTTATATAATAACACATAAACTGCACAAGTGAAAACAGCACAGACAACTTACTTTAAATTGCATATGACAGACTGACTGTTGCCTAAGACACGTCCAAACTAACTCTTCCGTGCGCACTACCACACGTACATTACGAGGGAGCAGGCATAGTACAGACAATACGACTATTACGTACATTGACAACCACATAATCTTATAGGCCTTTATCTTCACTAGGTCATCAAGCTCCAAAGCAAATTTAGTTAATCTATGAAGTAACAAGCACTAGTATTAATTCTTACACAAACAGTTGGTGTACACATGCATCACAAACAGTCTGTAGTTCATAAAAAGGAACTACCCCAGAAAAAAATATGTTCTCAAGTACAAAATAATTTTAGCTACAGAATTAGAACCATTGGTGAAGGAATATATTTATCTCAGAATGGGCACACTGAGGGGAGGGGAGGGAAGGGGGTGAAAGGGGAGGGAAGGGGGTGAAAGGGGAGGGAAGGGGTGGTGTATGCCTTCAGTGCCCCACATTCCAACATCTATGATAATAACTCAACTACAAAAGCAAACATATTCTCACATGCTGAGTATCACCTTAACACTGTCTCTAACATACCAAGTAAACCTTCTAAAACCTACTGTTGCAATCTATGGTCCCATGCCCCCTCACTACCCTACATGCAACATCACGAGCAACACAAAAGCAGAGGAAACATTTTCTATGACAAAAGCAACACTAATAAAATAATAAACTAACCATCCATAACCAATGAATAATCAAGATATAAGAGATAATCAATATTTTTTTGTAGAATCATTTTGATAGGGACATCAGCCATCTTGTCTGTATTTACATAATCTAAATTCACTGGTTTGGGATGACTTAAATGAGTGACATAAACAAACTAAAATCGGTTGGTAAAGTTTATATTAATGTTTACACTGACCTTTAGGTCTGTTGTAGTGGCCTCGACCCTCCCCATAGCCATGTCGGGTGGGACCGGCCGGCCTGGCTGGGGTGACGGAGTTTCCAGGGTTTGAGGGACTAACAGAATGTCTGGGGTTCCCCGGGTACGGTGGAGGGGGATCATCACTGTAGGCTCGACTCGACCGTTTGGCTCCAGGAGGCTTAGGACGCTCTGGTTCCCTCTCGGCGGCTCCTCTGTGGCGAGACGGTCCTGGTCCTGGTCCCGGCCCTGGTCCAGGTCCTGGTTGGTTGTGGTGATGGTGGTGGTGGTGTTGACTTGGGCTGGGTCCTGCTTGGCTGTTGGCATTCTGTCCTTGTCGATGTCGCTGTTGATATATAAAAAAAAACCCAGTGCATTAAGTCATGGGAACCACAGTACAGTACATCCAATCCAACCCATCTCCTCAATCTTAAGCAATACAGTACTGATTTCTTTAATTTTTTTATCTTTTAAGCCTGTACCCAGTAGAGCATAATACAGAATGATATGAGGACGGTACTCAGATTGAAAAATTATGACCAAGTCCAACAGTCCATTATCACCTCACCTTGACTCTCTAAATAAGGCTAATAGTTTACCACCACCTCACCTTAACTCTCCTGAGGGTGTTGACAGGTCTGCGAAGGGTCTCTGTGATAGATCGAGCCGGAGGTTTGCGAGGGTTGTTAGACGGGGTGTGGACCGCACAACACTTGATGAAGATCCCCATGACCACTACAAAGGTAACCCCAAGCAGCATCACGCCATACCAGTATTGCTGCAACAAACATAATAAACATACAGTACACAATATACTGTATATCACACGCACACACCCATCCTCAAATATTGATAATTATGGTATATTACTGTTGACTTAAGAGAATATACAAAAACACTGATGTTTGTCATAACATATAAATCCAGTTTCACAATGTGTACAGGAATGAAGTATAACTAAATATAAAATGTACTAACACATGAGGCCAAAACTGAAGACACCTGGCCAGTCAAGGTTAACAGTAGTATTATTACATCAAACACTAAGTTCTTGATTATTACAATACATTACTCTGTATACCCAATAGATAGAGTCAATTCTAAACAAACACACAGACATTTTCCTTCCTGTGTTATAAGGCTGTGTGTAATAACCAACATGGAGCATGGAACTGTTGAATTACAATCAAGAAGAATGCATAAGGCTGTGTGATTGATGAAGGAATGTAGTAAAGGGAGACAAGTTGGTAGTGGGTTAGTATATGTGCAAAAATTAATATACTTTCCCATTCTTTAGTAAATTATTCCCTATGCTGTTTATTATTTACAGACTTGGTCACATAATCAACTATCAATGATCCTATACGTGTTATCTCCACTTTCTCTCACTGACTGATGACACAGGTTGCACCCCCCTAATAGCCTGACAATTCTCAGACCTCTTCCCGCTGGCTTGTATCGGACACACCCACAAACCCTCGCATCGCACAGAGCCAACAATTATTCATAAAGAATTCATTATTGTTCATCCAAATCCAATTTCAGCCAGCCAACTTTCAATAATGTGAAAGGATTACAAGAAAAAAGCAATTTCAAAGTGCAGTATAAAGAATTAATATTCTTTCAAACTTTTTAATAATAGGTATTGTTTAAACTTGCTGGTTAAAATGTCAACTTTAGTTCAACCTTCATGTGATTTATGACTTACTGTACCAGGTCAACTTACATCTATCATACCACCTTCCATTACCCAGCAGGGTAGTACCGAGTCACTTTCAAGAGTTCTTGTTAATGACCATTACACTGTCTATTAACCTTCTCATTTCCATAATTGTCTCACTTCCTCCTCCACTTCCCAGGTATCTCTGCCTTGGCAGTAAAGTTATTGAACTAAAACCTGCTCCAAGAGTCAGCATTTTCATATTAAAAGTCCGAGCAGCACCACAACACTAGCGTTCCTGGCTGACATCTCTTAAAGGACAACCACCTCAAGACACACGTGTAAACCGTCTTACCGTGATCCACTCCGCTACACTATTTAGTGTGTCTTGGTTGAACAGCAGGTTCTTGAGGCGGGCTAAAGGTCCTTCTGCATCCACCGCTCGGCATTTTTGGAAGACATCACAGTAACCCTAAAAGTATAATGCAATTTGTGTGAATAAATTACTGAAAACATTCCTTACATCAACAACAACACTTTGTCAAATACATTGTATTATGGTTCATCTCACTCTCATGCCCTTTAACACACAGCTTTATGTACGTTTGCTGAAAAAATTTGCCTCCCCCTCTCAATGAGAGACTGCACTGCAATAGAGGTAAGACAGTATATTTCTAGGGTCACTGCCATCCAACTGAAAGTAATTCCACGTGAACAGAAAGATCATTCTCATCTTCTGTTCTTTCAAACTCACACATAATATTAATTTGTTAGTTATGTATACAGTACTGGAACTCATACAGAGAACTGTCAGGAAGATATTTTAAGTTCTTTCCCAGCCTTATAATAATAATAATAATAATAATAATAATAATAATAATAATAATAATAATAATAATAATAATAATAATAATAATAATAATAATAATAATAGCTGCTCTTCTGTTTCTCAAAAGCGCCAGTTCTTCTAAACAATTCACTAGCGCTCAACCATCCAACCACTTTTCATGACTACTTGACGCTACACCAAACCCTGTCTGTCACTACCACTTGACACACCAAATCCTCTCACCACCACTTGACACACCAAACCCTGTCACCACCACTTGACACACCAAACCCTGTCTGTCACTACCACTTGACACACCAAACCCTGTCACCACCACTTGACACCACACCAAACTTTCTCACCACCCCTTGACACCACACCAAACCCTCTCACCACCACTTGACACACCTAACCCTGTCACCACCACTTGACACCACACCAAACTTTCTCACCACCACTTGACACCACAATAAGCTCTCTAATGGACTCTCATCATCATTTACTGTACCTAAAAATTCAATTTTTGTGAGTAAAAATATATATGTCTAAATAAATAAAAAACTATTTGAAGAATATCTCACCAAATGTTTTGTGATATTTTCCATCCTAACATATCTAACTTGTGTCCAACCAAACATGTATGTATCCATTTACATCCAGTCTGGTACAACTTTTCCCATAGTTGGAGCATTCATATGTGTGTGTACAATCTCCCTTTAAAACCTTAACCCCTTCACTATGGGGACACCACTTTTGGCTAACACCAGACCCTGTACACAAGGGATTAAGTACTGATTCTCTATACACACAAATAAAACAACACTGTACTGCCCCACCTGAAAATTATTGCAGGGTGCTCCTGGCCTCATGAACACAGGCCGACCACCAAACAGTTCCGGCAGCTCTGACGTAGACTTGCAGGATGCCGTGTCGTTCCCAACCTGGCAGGCGATCTCACACAGTTTTTTTTTGTCATGCACACGATCAGAGGTGAGGAAACACTCCTTCATGCCTTTAGCAAGGCATATTGATCCAGTGCACTTGCCTCTTGTACACACCTGCAGGTTGAGAGGAATAACTTATTAATCCAGTAATGTTCAGTTTCATCAACATATTTACCGAGTGCCTGAAAAAGTTGTCTCTAATTAATCATTGTTTCATTTTTACTAATGCCAAAATTTCATTCATCATAGACAACTTCTAATATATAATTCATAATTTCCCATGTACGATACAGCAGAGAAAGCATCTGTCTGTAGGGAGTTCTTCAGGTAATGAGAGGTATGACTACAAGTTACAGTCAGGCCAGATTGATATTGAGGATTAACTTAAGGCAGGCAGGGTGCTCTCAACTTTTTCTCACCAGGTCCCTCTGAGTTATTAGACCATCGACCAGTACTCCCATTACTGAGACACTGAATACAGAATGGTACTACATTAACACTAATTCAATATAGAATGGCAGTGTTAAAACATATTTGGTGTTTGGAGAGAAGCTACTTTCCATATTGTAAATATAACATTAAATTTATATCACCTCAAGAATTAAATCTGGTAAAATTAGTATATTCGATATTGATTTTTGTCAGCCTTCAATGTACACCCTGGAAAACCTCTGTGTACCCCTGGGGGTTCACAAACCCCAGTTTGAGAACCCCTGACTTAAAGATATCTGACAAAAATGAGCATTTGACAAAAAGAAAGGCTCCAAACCCCCTCAATAACCAACCTGATCCAGGGGGCAACCCCGGTGCCTGATGCATTACACTACATCATATGGAATTTCCCATGGTGCACCACATATTAGTTTGTCTCACATTATCACATACCGGACTCAGTTACGGAACACTAATGAGCAACAAATTCATTATGTTTTATGCTAACAAGTGACTCTAACCTACACACATGTAAGTTACCTGCACCTGGTACTATGAGAAGGCATCTGAGAGACAGTTGGTCCCTCAGTCACCAACGAGGACACAGGCATGGAGTAGTCCACGTAGAAGTGATAATATGAATGCCATGAAACAATTATAAATGTTAATAAAACCTCTGGTGCAGCACTTACATTCATCACTACAAAACTTTGATCATCTTACCTTTGTGCCTTGGTTACACTCCTTATATTCTTCCTTGGCTGCTGGCTGAGGACAAGTGGCCTTGTCTCCTTCACAAAAAGCAGATTCCTCACAATCTGTCGCGGTATGGCACATGTCTCCCTTTACAAAGGTACAGTCCTTTCGACTACAACAAGGTCCTTCACTTGGGCTGAAAAGATAATGAGAAGCTTCACTAACACAGTACAGTACAGCACCCACACTGCCTTCCATCCCGTTAGAATCAACAAAACTCTTTACTGATGGCCTACCTGTCAACTCACACCCAGATGTACAGTAGTCCATTCATAAAATCTTCTTAACTGTCTTACTGATCAAGCTATTCCTCTGATAATCTTCCCACTACCTTAAGTACATCTGCTCTAGTTTTCCACGCAATCTTTTCAACCCAAAAATGGCAGCCAACGATCCCAGTAGTAAGTAATGAATAAACACTGTTTACAATAAAATTAATGATAGAGTGGTGCTGAAGGTAACTAAAGGTGAATACTGTACAGGGTGTCTCATAGGTCACACACCATACTGTACAGGGTGTTGTATAGGTTACTCATCATACATTACAGGGTCTCATATATCACAGACCATATGTTACAGAGTGTCTCATAGGTCACACAACTATATGCCAATTACCTCCTACTGTTTAACCCATCAATGTCACTAGTTCATGTATGTCTTATTCTTCCACCTGTCCTGTATTGTAGTCTTCTTAACGGTGTCATTACAGTAGCTAGTCAGTGCAGTACAGTACTTCACATGTATGTTAAGACACTTACTGTAAGGTTTTCAAATGGTAATATCAACAAGTGTTACCACGAAAATATTCCAAGTTATTTTAGCATGAACAAATTTTTCATCCCTGAGAGAAAATTTGTCATTATCAGAATATTTCAAGATTTAATAAGGAAACAAAAGTTAATAACATGAAGAGTTTCAATCTACATGATTAAATAAGACGACTATCAGTAATTTGTTACCAAGTAGCTACAACAAACTACTATACTGAGTTAGCTTCCTACTGAATCTTCCTCTCAAATACTACTAAAAAGGAGTAAATTTATCACCTGCACAATGTGTTGTTCCTGCGAGTACATTCTTTGGCCGAGGGATTTGCTAACTTGTCAGCTGCGGATATTTTGAGAGGATAACAGCATTTTTCTTTGCATTCATCTTCATCAAACCCACAGTCACACTCCTCCCCTTCTTCAACAATCTTGTTACCACAGAAGGCACCATTGTTTTCAGTGAAACAATTTGTTCTTCTCTTTTCGGAGATTGCGTCGAGCACCAGGGAGATGTTGCGAACGGAGCACGGAGAAAATTTGTCGTTGTTGAGACGGTCGCCGCTCGTAGCCGACGAGAACATGATGAAGTTGCCCTGCAGTCCCCCGGGTTTGCAGGTCTCTGGAAAGTCGTGAGGTGATCCAAAATTGTGGCCGATCTCATGAGCTAAAGTGAGCTGAGACACCTTGGGTGGCACTCTGGAGTTATAATTGAGGAATGTTATGATACCAGTATTTAGTGAGCGCTTTTCTGAGTGACGGAAGCCTCCCAGGTTCTCTGTGTAAGTTTTGTACTTTTCGCAAATGCCCCCAGACGCACCTGTAATAAAGGTAACAGATGAAATTAGGTAACTACCAGTGTTCAAGACTTAACATGTTGTTTCCTCATCATTAAGGGGTTATTATGGCAAAGTTACACAACAAGAATATAACTCAATTAAAACATAATTTCACCACAAATTATCAGAAGTATTTGCAAAGTCACATAAGTTTTCCACAAATTACCTGAAGGTGACGCAACCCACGCCAGCCCTAAGGTACCTCCAGTGAAGTCTCTGAAAGTGAACACATATGCCAGACAGAAGTCATCGTGCTTCTTTTGGGAATGTAAGTTGAGGAAGTTGCTCACATCTACGTTGGCTTTACAAAATTTGTTGGTCTCCCCTTGCCCCGTTAATTGACACGGTGCATCATCATCGATCTGAAACGTGACACTTGAGGTTTAACATGGAACTAATTATCTAAAAAACAAAAACAGACATCCCGAACCTTTTCAAAGATTATTCAGAAACGGAACCTCTACATAAGTCGAGGGATCCCTGACCCCCCCCCACCTAAAATTAAAAACAGACATTAACAGTTCAAACAAATAAAAAATTTGATTACACCCTACTCTCACACCTTACTCTAACACCCTACTCTAACACCTTACTCTAACACCCTACTCTAACACCCTACTCTAACACCCCACTCTAACACCCTACTCTAACACCCTACTCTCACACCCTACTCTAACACCCCACTCTAACACCCTACTCTCACACCCTACTCTCACACCCTACTCTAACACCCCACTCTCACACCCTACTCTCACACCCTACTCTAACACCCCACTCTCACACCCTACTCTAACACCCTACTCTAACACCCTACTCTAACACCCTACTCACCTTAATTCTCTGGACTTCAAATCGGATATTCCTGTGTTTGTACTTTCCATTGAACTTGACATTGGCGTAGATGTGGTTTATGGCCTTGATGTGCTGGGAGATCATGGCGGTAATCTCATCTCTAGTTTTCTCCTTGTTCTGCCCCTCCTGGTGACAACGTGAAGAATTATGAGCTAAAGGTTGTACAAAATGGTGGTGAAAAAAAAATATATACTGTATATATATAAAAATAAATAAATAAAATATATATATACAATCAAGACCTCACCAATTACAGAACTTATTAAAAGGTGTACAATTATTCGCAAGTTGGTGATAATGTGTGTGTACAGTTCGGTACGGGCTTCATACCTAAGGGAGAGAGAGGATTGACAATGCTATGTGGTAAACGGAGGAGTGGTGCCAACTGTACAATTAATCCCAACTTGGTAATTATATGTAAATTAATATAATCAGAAAGTACTGTATATAATGGCAGGTGACTACAAGCTAATCATTAATTTAAAAGCATGAAAATAATTTATTAATTTTGCCTCGCCTTATGTAAATGCCAATACAGTATCTTTATTTAAAAAAACAAATATATCAAAATACTATACAGTACTTTAAGTCCTTATTGTCAGGAGGATTATCATATAACTATTGTACTGACTTTGAATGATCTACAAGACTGGATAAAATAAAGGTAAGAGTAATAATGTCACTTATCAGAATATTCATTGGCCAAAAGAATAATGTTTTATCTGTGGTCTCATAAGATGTAAAGGAAACTGTCATATGTGGTCTGAGAGAAGAGTTTGTCGCTTCAAGATGGAGTACAATACAGTGTAGTAGAGTACCTGTTTATATATGTGATGCCACAACATAGGGTCAGTCTGAATGGAGAGCGAACATGTTCCCTTGTTGTCCTCTCCCACGCCGATCCCAATAGCTCTCTTACGCCGTGTGTTGGCTTCTTCACTGTACTTGTTGTGGTAGTCATCTAGGATGTTGATGTACTGGCCGTGATATTCACTGGCATCTTGAACTGTTCTATATTCATCGTGTGCGTCTAACCATCTTTTATATTTGTACTGACTACGGAGATGGGCCGGCGTTTGTAAGTATTGCTTGACCACTTCCTGTCTTTCTTCTTCTAAATCTGCAGAGTTTTGAACACTGTCCATCCAGGCAGCCACGTCATCCGTCGCGCCACAACCCGAGGTGCGTCCTTCCCGCAACCTCGTGTACGGGTCATCCACGTGGTCGTTATGATATATAACAGAGTGGAAGCCCGCTTGAGTAGAATTATGGCGTGGGAAGTACTTGTAAGCGCCCTCCACGTAGAAGGTGCCGTCACGCTCACTGGCTATCACACCTTCAAACACCCCGTTCTTGACGCTCCCCCAGACCCGCGAGCCAGGGTCATCTGCACAGCGAGAAGGAAAATATTAAGTGAATCCCTTTCAATGACCATGAAAATACTACGTGCCTCATCTCTATACTCAGCACTATAAATTTTTTACACAGAACTGGCGAAATAAACCTTACTACTTAAGAATACAAGAGTTGGTTAAAACCTTCAGTTGGAAATCAATCCTTGTAATTATTGCAACATTTTGATATAAACAAAATAAACCCTACAACATTACTTTATGTTACTTGTGGTATTTATTGTTGTATTTTAAGAATATTAACACTTGAGTTCAATGATATAACTCCTTGAATACAATGACCTATTCCCTCGAGTAACCTGACATTACACCAGTACTTGAGAGATAAGATCATGACACTCAAGGTGCCGTAAATCCCTTTACAAAGAGGGGAAGTCATCGTACTCAAGGGGGTTAATTACTCTACAACTTAACAAAAATAGTTCCATCAACACAACCACAAAAAGTACACACAAAAAAGGCAGATTATTGTACAAGAGTTGAGAAGGTGTTGGTTACCTCGCAGAGTCCCTTCATAGAGGTGGCTGAAGTCAAGCCCCTTGAGGTCAGCCGGGACCTCCACTTTCACAAAGGGGCTGATGGTCTGTGTGTCCCGCTTCAGCCGCAGGTGGAATGATCGCCCGTGCGACGCAAAAGAAATGGTCAGCTGAAAATACACAAAATCTCAGTGATTTGACACTTGATATGTTAGATTATGGGTATAATTTGAGCCTTGGCGCAATAATAAAAATTTCAGATAAAATTACTGATAAAATTTTAATACAGTAAATGTCTCTTAAAGTGGGTCCCTAAGGCCTGACGTCACATCGGGGGGGGGTAGTGTGACCGGCACTGGACCTGACAGTTTTAACTTCCCCAACTGTTAACTTTGGCACCAGTGTTCTCTATTGTTTAACAACACTGAAGGGGAGAAAAATTTTGTTACGTGCACCAACATCAAGGTAATGAGAGGATGCGTTCACCAGTAGAAATAAATAAGACCAATAATTTATTTGTGTTAAAGTTACCATTAGTATGTACGAAGTAAAGGGACCATAACAATGAAGGTGCGCCGCTCAACATGTTTATGTAATGTGTACGGCGGGGAAAATAAAGGGCGAGGCACTTGGTGGGTGTCCTGGGCGCGATTAGTGACCCTTAAGACAAGTGGCGAATGTTATCAACTCACCCACAGCACACACACACACACACACACACACACACTAAATACATTACTATAATATACTAGGCTCAGTACATTAGAGTATACAGTATGTCAGTGTGTCCAAGGATAAGATACTACTGTTTTTAGTCTTGGAGTGTGTCAACCTCTCTTGGTACTCGTACATCAACCTTGTGGTGGTAGTGTCAACCTACTTCCTTGTGGTGGTAGTGTCAACCTACTTCCTTGTGGTGGTAGTGTGTCAACCTACTTCCTTGTGGTGGTAGTGTCAATCTACTTCCTTGTGGTGGCAGTGTGTCAACCTACTTCCTTGTGGTGGTAGTGTGTCAACCTACTTCCTTGTGGTGGTAGTGTCAATCTACTTCCTTGTGGTGGCAGTGTGTCAACTTACTTCCTTGTGGTGGTTAGTGTGTCAACCTACCTCCTTGTGGTGGTAGTGTCAACCTACCTCCTTGTGGTGGTGGTGTGTCAACCTACTTCCTTGTGGTGGTAGTGTGTCAACCTACTTCCTTGTGGTGGTAGTGTGTCAACCTACTTCCTTGTGGTGGTAGTGTGTCAACCTACCTCCTTGTGGTGGTAGTGTGTGAACCTACTTCCTTGTGGTGGTAGTGTGTCAACCTACCTCCTTGTGGTGGTAGTGTGTGAACCTACTTCCTTGTGGTGGTAGTGTGTGAACCTACTTCCTTGTGGTGGTGGTGTGTCAACCTACCTACTTGTGGTGGTAGTGTGTCAACCTACTTCCTTGTGGTGGTGGTGTGTCAACCTACTTCCTTGTGGTGGTGGTGTGTCAACCTACTTCCTTGTGGTGGTAGTGTGTCAACCTACCTCCTTTGCAGGTAGTGTGAACTCCATTCTTGTGGTGGTAGTGTGTCAACTCACCTTGGGTGGTGGTAGTGTGTCAACCTACCTCCTTGTGGTGGTAGTGTGTGTCAACCTACCTTGTGGTGGTGTGTCAACCTACCTCCTTGTGGTGGTAGTGTGTCAACCTACCTCCTTGTGGTGGTAGAGTGACCTCTTGACACGCTCGTGGCTGCGGTGGACGTCTGCAGAGTCATACCGCAACACTTGGTACTGACTCACATACTCGCTCAGCGCCGTCCCTGCCAGAAACACCACACTCTATTAACACTTAAATATTAACAACACTCGTAAAATTTAACATTAACACTCGTACAATTTAATATTAATAAAACCAGTAAATTGTAACACTAATAACACTTGTAAAATGTATTAACAATCGTAAAAATAACATTAACAACACTAGTAAAATATATTAATTAGATCACCTGAAGAATCCCCAGATGTAACAAATATACAACATGCAGTATAAATGCAATAATGTTAATAAAACCTGTATAATGTTTCATAATTGTACGATAATACTTACACCGTGTATACGATATTAACATCAATACTAATATTGGTACGATATTATCAGCAATATTAATAATGGTACGATAATATCAACAACACTGGTACGATAATAAAAACACTGGTACGATAACATCAACAACACCAGTACGATAATAACAATAACAACTGTACAGTATTAAAATTAATGTAACTGCTACGATGAATGCTATATATTCTTTTATGAACGTATAAAAAAAATATTGTTGAGTCTGTGTTTAACTTTCAAATTATTATTATCTTTTTTTTATTATCATCTCCAGTCAATCAGTTAGATAGATTTTTACATCTTCAGTTAAAGGGTTTAGTGCATCCTGCTGTGAGGTAATAAGCCATACAGTAGCTGCCAGGGCCCTCCAGTACTGTGTGTCGTTGTACTGCTGTTATGAACATCTTGTGACTGAACACACACACACACACACACGCTGACGTACATCAACTTAACTGGAAAAATTATCGCGCCTGCCACAGCATCCACCCGAGTTGCCACCTCACACGTGTTATAACAAACTACTGAGTAACGCAACCACTACAGATAACCCACAAATATACAAACTCAAAAGTTATTGTAAAGATTATTTGGTTACATAATAAATCGTTCTGTACACAAATTTATATGTAAAATTAGCGAAAAGATAAAGATCAAGGGAAGTGTAGCAACTATGCCCGCGGGATCACAGGCATTTCCCGCCAAAATACGCTCCATACATAAGCTGTTTATGTTTCTGTTATTTTCATGTTACACAATATTACTGTGATGGTATAAACCTCTAACCAAAACATCTTACCTAAACATTGTCGTCTTTAAAACCCAATACAGCAACACCAGCCTTCATACAACACCTCGTCACGTCACTATGCACACCATGATTCATAACTGTTCACGTATAATTATTTTCAGTAATATACAACACAAATACTTGAATCACATACAGTAGATAATACAACGGGATACAGTGTGAGTAATCATTAACATAAAAGGAGAATATCGTCGTACATCGTGGCTTCCTCAGGACCTTTGTTGTCAGCCAGAGAAAAAAAACACTGCCAGAGGTACGACATCCAACATCACCATACATATTACAGCAGTGCGACTCATACATCAGCTCAGACATGTCCTAAAATAACACTAAACCTCCTCCATCCTCGGCAAGAGTAAGGAGTAGAGTCGTGTGCAGTATTAAACAAAGGAGGAAGGGCCACGGACTCCCAATTCGGCCGGCCATGTTGGATGTGGTGGAGGCGGGTATGTATGTCTGCCTTCATCCCATTGATTATACGAACCACCCCTTACCCTCTACCACCCCTTACCCTCTACCACCCCCTGCCCTCTACCACCCCTTACCCTCTACCACCCCCTGCCCTCTACCACCCTTTACCCTCTACCACCCCTTACCCTCTACCACCCCTTACCCTCTACCACACCCCCCACCTCTACTCACCCCTCAACTCCACCCCCACCCCCACCAACCCCGTCCCCCCACCAACCCCCAACTCCACCAACCCCGCCCCAACCAACCTCACCCCACCAACTTCAATCCCCACCAACCCTCTCAACTCCACCAACCTTAACCCACCAATCCCCACCTCCACCAACTCTCATCCCACCAACCCGTCCTCCACCAACTTCACCCCACCAACCCCGTCCCACCAATCCCTCATCCCACCAACTCCCGTCCCACCAACCCCAACCCCACCAACTCCCGTCCCCAACCAACCTCTCAACTCCACCAACCCCAACTCCACCAACTCTATCCCACCAACTCCACCAACTCAACTCCACCAACTCAACTCCACCAACCCTCTCATCCCAACTCAACTCCTCAACTCCACCAACCCCATCCCACCAACCCGTCCCCACCAACTCTCAATCCCAACCAACCCGTCCCCACCAATCCCCATCCCACCAACTCCAACCCCACCCCAACTCCACCAACTCGTCCCCCACCAACTCTCACCCCACCAACTCCGTCCCACCAACCTCAATCTCACTCACACCCCGGCCCCACCACCCCCTTTAATCTCTACCACCCCCCTGCCCTCTACCACCCCACTCCCACTCACCCCCCTGCCCCCCACTAACTCTTACCCCACTCAATCTCTTAATTCTAACACACCCCCGTCTCTAACACCATTAACTTTAATCTCCACCAACTCTCATCTCCACTCAACTCTCACCCACCCCAACCTCAACCCCACCAACTCACACCCCCACCAACCCCAACTCCACCAACCCCGCCTCCACCAACCCCTCAACTCCACCAACCCCGTCCCCACCAACTTCAACCCACCAACCCAATCCCACCAACCTCACCTCCCACCAACCGCCCCCACCAACCCCACCCCCACCAACTCCTTACCCTCTACCACCCCCTGCCCTCTACCACCCCTTACCCTCTACCACCCCCTACCCTCTACCACCCCTTACCCTCTACCACCCCTTACCCTCTACCACCTCCTGCCCTCTCTAGTATTTAACATTGCATACCTACACTGTCCAGGTTACATGAACGAGTGTTGAGCGTGTATGAAAAAAATTACTAAATAAATATAAATATAAATAAATAAATAAAATAAATAAATAATTACTTGATACCGATAACTTATTTCAAGCAATACTGACTGGCCAGAATCACAGACGATCATGTAAATCCTCATAATACATAGAGATTAAAAATTCCATTGAAAAACCTATCCTAACCTGACCTACTTTAGAAGCAACTTAGCGACTGTTACGATGATAAAGTCTTAAATGAAACAGAACAGATTTTACCATATGCCAATACATTTTCATTAAGTTGTATCAATAAAAAGAAGAGAAAAAGTTATACAAATTTAGCAAAAACGTCTGTTGTTTTAAAAAAAAAAACACACACACACACACACACCACACACACACACACACACACACACACACACACACACACACACACACACACACACACACACACACACACACACACACACACACACACACACACACACACACACACACACACCACACACACACACACACACACACACACACACACACACACACACACACACACACACACACACACACACACACACACACACACACCACACACACACACACACACACACACACACACACACACACACACACACACACACACACACACACACACACACACACACACACACACACACACACACACACACACACACACACACACACACACACACACACACACACACACACACACACACACACACACACACACACACACACACACACACACACACACACACACACACACACACACACACACACACACACACACACACACACACACACACACACACACACACACACACACACACACACACACACACACACACACACACACACACACACACACACACACACACACACACACACACACACACACACACACACACACACACACACACACACACACACACACACACACACACACACACACACACACACACACACACACACTCTGTCAGTGGCGGGAGGATAGGTACAGCAACAAGGAGTATAGCACTTTCTTCGCCCCACCGACCTGTCAACACTACCTAGAGTGTTAACATATAAGAAAAGTGAATATGTATTACTTATATAAATATGTGACTCTACTTTTTATATATAAGTAATATCTGCACCTGTACTAGTGTCTGTACCTGTACTTGTAACTGCACCTGTACTAGTGTCTGTACCTGTACTTGTAACTGCACCTGTACTAGTGTCTGTACCTGTACTTGTAACTGCACCTGTACTAGTGTCTGTACCTGTACTTGTAACTGCACCTGTACTAGTGTCTGTACCAGCAAGTGCAGCGTACTTAATATTGGAAGAACAAATACTGACAATGTATACAGCCTTAACAACATCAACCTAGAGAAGTCGACTTGTGAAAGAGACCTAGGGGTACTTGTAAGCCCGGACCTACGGCCTAGAAAACAGTGCGTTAATGTTCGAAATAAGGCAAACAGAGTATTGGGTTTTATATCTAGAAGTGTAAGCAATAAGAGTGCAGAGGTCTTATTGCAACTATATCTTGCGCTAGTCAGGCCGCACCTCGATTATGCGTGGTCTGCCCTGGTGCCCTATTATAGCACGGATATCAATTCACCAGAGTCGGTGCAGCGAAGAATGACGAAAATGATTCCGGGACTTAGAAACCTTCCATATCAGGATAGGTTAAAGAAACTTAACTTGCATTCCCTAGAAAGACGAAGAGTGCGGGGAGATATGACAGAAGTATTTAAGTGGGTGAAAGGAATCAATAAAGGGGATATAGATAAAGTTCTTATAATATCCGAACAGGATAGGACTCGGAGCAACGGATTTAAGTTGGATAAGTTTAGGTTTAGGAGGGAGATACGAAGAAACTGGTTCACAAATAGGGTGGTGGACGAGTGGAACAAGCTTACCAACTTTGTAGTAAGTGCTGGAACTCTGGAAAGTTTCAAAAGGAGGCTAGATAGATTCATGGATGATAGAGAGAGGTTGTAACTCTCGACAGGAGCTGCCATGCACAGGCCAACCGGCCTATTGCAGACTCCTTATTTTCTTATGTTCTTATGTTGTAACTGCACCTGTACTAGTGTCTGTACCTGCACTTGTAACTGCACCTGTACTAGTGTCTGTACCTGCACTTGTAACTGCACCTGTACTAGTGTCTGTACCTGTACTTGTAACTGCACCTGTACTAGTGTCTGTACTTGTAACTGCACCTGTACTAGTGTCTGTACTTGTAACTACACCTGTACTAATGTCTGTACCTGCACTTGTAACTACACCTGTACTAGTGTCTGTACTTGTAACTACACCTGTACTAGTGTCTGTACTTGTAACTGCACCTGTACTAGTGTCTGTACCTGCACTTGTAACTACACCTGTACTAGTGTCTGTACTTGTAACTGCACCTGTACTAATGTCTGTACCTGCACTTGTAACTACACCTGTACGAGTGTCTGTACTTGTAACTGCACCTGTACTAGTGTCTGCACCTGTACTTGTAACTGCACCTGTACTAGTGTCTGTACCTGTACTTGTAACTGCACCTGTACTAATGTCTGCACCTGTACTGTAACTGCACCTGTACTAGTGTCTGTACTTGTAACTGCACCTGTACTAGTTCGTATTTGTAACTGCACCTGTACTAGTGTTCGTACTTGTAACTGCACCTGTACTAGTGTCTGTACTTGTAACTGCACCTGTACTAGTGTCTGTACCTTGTAACTGCAGCACCTGTACTAGTGTCTGTACTTGTAACTGCACCTGTACTAGTGTCTGTACTTGTAACTGCACCTGTACTAGTGTCTGTACTTTGTAACTGCACCTACTAGTGTTCCGTACTTTTGTAACTGCACCTGTACTAGTGTCTGTACTGTAACTGCACCTGTACTAGTGTCTGCATTTCCTGTAACTGCACCTGTACTAGTGTCTGTACTTGTAACTGCACCTGTACTAGTGTCTGTATTTCTTGTAACTGCACCTGTACTAGTGTCTGTACTTGTAACTGCACCTGTACTAGTGTCTGTACTTGTAACTGCACCTGTACTAGTGTCTGTACTTGTAACTGCACCTGTACTAGTGTCTGTACTTGTAACTGCACCTGTACTAGTGTCCGTACTTGTAACTGCACCCGTACTAGTGTTCGTACTTGTAACTGCACCTGTACTAGTGTCCGTACTTGTAACTGCACCTGTACTAGTGTCTGATACTTGTAACTGCACCTGTACTAGTGTCCGTACTTGTAACTGCACCTGTACTAGTGTTTGTACTTGTAACTGCACCTGTACTAGTGTCTGTACTTGTAACTGCACCTGTACTAGTGTTTGTACTTGTAACTGCACCTGTACTAGTGTTCGTACTTGTAACTGCACCTGTACTAGTGTCTGTACTTGTAACTGCACCTGTACTAGTGTTTGTACCTTGTAACTGCACCGTACTAGTGTCTGTACTTCTGTAACTGCACCTGTACTAGTGTCTGTACTCCTTGTAACTGCACCTGTACTAGTGCGTCTGTACTTAACTGCACCTGAACTAGTGTCTGTACTTGTAACTGCACCTGTACTAGTGTCTGTACCTGTACTTGTAACTGCACCTGTACTAGTGTCTGTACCTTGTAACTGCACCTGTACTAGTGTCTGTACCTGTACTTGTAACTGCACCTGTACTAGTGTCTGTACCTGTACCCATATTAATGTTCCTAAACAAATAGAATAAAATACAGTACAGGTATATTCTATTAATCCCCGCAATACCACAAACCTGTCTATTTGTCATTCATCATCACGATCTTTTTATCTAGTCGTGGTAGTCGGTTGGTGGTAGGTGGTGGTAGTCGGATGGTGGTAGTTGGTTGTTGGTAGGTGGCAGATGGTGGTAGTTGGTGTGGGTAGTAGAAGGTAGTGGTATAGGTATAATAGTAGTGACGGTAGTAGTAATAGTGGTGATGGTAGTAGTGGTATTGGTGATGGTAGTACAATAGTAGTAGTAGTGATGGTTAGTGATGGTAGTGGTGGCAGTAGTTGTAGCGATAGTGGTGATGGTACAATAATAATAATAATAATAATAATAATAATAATAATAATAATAATAATAATAATAATAGTTGTAGTTGTTATTGTTGTTGTTGTTGTTGTAGTAGACTAGGGTAAACAACAACAATGGTATAGGCGGAGAGACGACGACAGACAGACAGACAGACAGTAAACAAAGGAAGGTCAGTGATTGGCTCCTCTCGGGGTCATGACCTGGTCAAACACAGGAGGGAGATGGGTCAACGAAGGAGGGTAACAAACAAAGAGAGTGGGTAGGTGGATAGGGTGGGGGATGTGCGGGTGGATAGGGGGATGTGCGGGTGGATAGGTGTGGGTGGATGAGTGGCATAGAGGGTGTGTGGGTAGGAGAGATGGGTGGGTAGAAGGGAGGGATGGAAGGTGGGTGGGGTAGATAGATGAGAGGGATGGAGGGTGTGTGGGTAGGGAGGTGGGTGGGTAGAAGGGAGGATGGAAGGTGGGTGGGGTAGATAGAGGGATGGAGGGTGTGGGTAGGAGGGATGGGTGGTGGATGAGAGGGGGATAGATGGAGGGTGTGTGGGTGATAAGAAGGTAGGTTGATGGGAAGGATAGAAGGTGGATGGGTGGGTGGATGAGAGGATAGAGGGTGGGTGGGTGGAAGGGCGGCCTCACTATCTCGATCAATACAGTAGAGTACAGTGCAGTGCCCTCCTCCTCCTCCTCCTCCTCCTCTTGCCGTTGTTGCTGCCTCATGTCTTCCCTCTCACTGTTGTTGTTGTTAATGGAAGCTGAATCACCATAACCATCATTAAAACAACAACAACAACAACAACAACAACAACAACAACCACCACCACCACCACCACCACCACCACAACAACCACCACCACCACCACCACAACAACCGCCACCACCACAACAACCGCCACCACCACAACAACCGCCACCACCACAACAACAACCGCCACCACCACAACAACCACCGCCACCACCACCACAACCACCGCCACCACCACCAACAACAACCGCCACCACCAACAACCACCGCCACCACCACAACAACAACCGCCACCACTACAACAACCACCGCCACCACTACAACAACAACAACCGCCACCACAACAACCACCGACACCACAACAACCACCGACACCACCACAACAACAACCGCCACCACCACAACAACAACCGCCACCACTACAACAACCACCGCCACCACTACAACAACAACCGCCACCACAACAACCGCCACCACCACAACAACCACCGACACCACCACAACAACAACCGCCACCACCACAACAACAACGCCACCACAAAACCACCACACCACAACAACCACCGACACCACCACAACAACAACCGCCACCACCACAACAACAACAACAACCGCCACCACAACAACCACCGACACCACAACAACCACCGACACCACCAACAACAACCGCCACCACCACAACAACAACCGCACCACCACAACAACAACCGCCACCACCACAACAACCACCGCCACCACCACAACAACAACCGCCACCACTACAACAACCGCCACCACAACAACAACCACCGCACCACACAACCACCACACCACAACAACCACCGCCACCACCACAACAACAACCGCCACCACTACAACAACAACCGCCACCACCACAACAACCACCGACACCACCACAACAACAACCGCCACCACCACAACAACCACCGCCACCACCACAACAACAACCGCCACACCACAACAACCACCGACACCACCACAACAACAACCGCCACCACCACAACAACAACCGCCACCACCACAACAACCACCGCCACCACCACAACAACAACAACCGCCACCACCACAACAACAACAACCGCCACCACCACAACAACAACAACCGCCACCACCACAACAACCACCGCCACCACCACAAACAACAACCGCCACCACCACAACAACCACCGACACCACCACAACAACAACCGCCACCACCACAACAACAACCGCCACCACCACAACAACCCACCGCCACCCCACAACAACAACAACCGCCACCACCACA